TCACGGGTTTTGAAATACAATAGCTGATTTTGCGAAGATTTAGAGAACCTACGTTTCTATTCTTTAAATCAAACTTGCATGAGAAAGAACAGATTGATGATATAGATATATGACCTATTTTGATCGGATGACAGAACAAAATAAATGTAATATGAAACAAATAATGTGTCAAAACATACAGAAGGAATACAATTATACATATCCTTTTTGTTTTGTTCGTGAACAAATTAATATAATACAAGTATTGACCACATTAATGAACAGAAATGAACAATCATGCCAACGTCAACGTCTACACAACTTCGATGTTTGGGAGGGAAATAAACAATCAGGATTACATGAATAGGTAATGCGTAGGAACGGGCGCGAAAGCTTTTCTTTAAAGACCGTCACCACTACTGGGCCAGAAGGGATTAGACCACACAGAGAGCCATCGAGGTCACTGTGACAGTTGGCTATCTCATCAACTCAGCTCTCATTTAACATAAGAAAAAGAGGATCATGGGGGACCAACAGGCACCGATTGGGGAAGTTTTCTATATAGAGGGAGCAAGTAGCTACAAGTATGGCAGTGTGCCTTTAAGCTCCCATTCACAAATTCACATTCACAAATTCACAATTCACAAAAAGCGCTTCGCTGTTAAGCGCACCGCCCCCCCCCCCCACCCACCCCCCAATGAGTGTTATGTAGGGTACGCATATGCATTTTCCCTCCTTTTGAAAACAGTCCCCTAAGTCCGGTGTGTAAAGTCAATACGGGCCGGATTTGTGTGTACCAGACGAGCCGGACTTTGGTGCGTGAAAAGTACCCCTTTACCAGACAGTAACAATGAGTCTCCAAACAATAGCCATATTTGATATTCATATTGTGAGCATGTGCTTAGTTATATCGGGATTCCCTGGTTATTTTGAAGACGTGGCCTAATATCTGTTTGCCCAGTATTTCTCCCTGATTGTTTGACAAACATTAAATTGCTATTGTCCAGCTGACTTCTCTATAGGCTTTTCTACCCTCGGCGCTAAAGGGATTGCGGAAAATTTCAACACTATTTGTGTTTCTTGATGACCCAGTAGAAGAAGAATAAGGGCTAGCCAACCCCCCCCCCCCCCCCCCCCCCCCAAAAAAAAAATGGCCCAAAACAACGCAATCATTATTAATTCCGTTTACTACTTGATACCAACACGTGCATGATGGATCCCCGGATGGATCCTTATTTAGACAGTGAGACAGTTCTGTTACGAGAAGCAATTCAACGAATTGCCATGGCTTGTATTTGTTCTAGAACGCACTACGCTCTTTCGATACCACGTGGCCCCAATTCAATATATACGTATTTTAGTTCTTCTCAACAATGACCTAGATCTAAAACTGGCCGCGGATGTAACCCCCCCCCCCCCCCTTCTTCGCAAAGAAATATTCGATAAAATTCTTTGGAACAGAATGATAAACTAATTTCTTCTTGAGATATGTTCGAGGTGAAATTTCAAACATCATTTCCTCGTAACTCTCTTCTTTTTTAATGCATGCTCTATTCTTACGATTTAGGCATAATTTACTATGTTGATTTGCAATTGATAATCTCCCTGGGAGTTTTGCGATATCCCCGATGATACGGGTACAGTGTATTTAATTTTGTTCGTAACATTAGTGTTTTGCAAAGAAAGAACATTCTGAAAATGAGCGTCTTCCTTCTAATGAAACATATTGATGATGTTCCCGACAATACGGATATCATTTGCATTAAAAAAAATCGTAATACAGATAAAACTCTTTTTAAATCCAATTCAAGGAGAAACTACGACATTCTTGATTTAGTATCATTTTCAACATCACAGATTTAAAAATACGTTCTCTAATTTTAAGAAGATTCAAAGGATCTATGTATTGAAATAACAGACTGATGATATAATTATATGATTTATAATGATCATACGACAGAACTGTTTACAAGATGCAAGGAAAATTAAAGATACAAAACAAGAAAACCGAAACATGCGATAACATCGCTAGAGTAAATATACACAATTTTAATGTAATAATATGAAACAAACAAAGTGTCAAAACATGCACGAAGAAAACAATGTCAGAGAGAGTGGGGTAAGTATAAAATAAAGTTTTTTTTTGTGAACAAATCAATTTGTATTAAAATTGATATATAGAACACAATCATGAACAGAACAGGAGGAGATGAAATAATGAACAATCATGCCAACGTTAACGCCTACAGAACTCCGATGTTGAGAGGAAAATAAACAATCAGAACAAACATTGTAACCAATGTCATGTACGTAAAATAATATTAAAACAAATCAGTAGCCAAAGTAATGCTTTTCAGAGTTAAATCTCGCAAGACGAGAGTGATAAACAAGCGGGCACTACATGAATAACTAATGCGCCGGACCGGGCGCGAAAGGGCGCGAAAGCTATTCAAAGTTTAAGCTCCCATTCACAAATGTCAAGTGCTTCACCGGGCCGCGTCCCGGCGGGGTAATTTCGTAACAATGAGACTCCAAACAATAGCCAGATTTTAATGAGCTGGAAACCAACTGAAGTCCTCTCGTATCCGACGCAAAGAGGCGCAAATGGGCGCAAAAAGGCGCCTCCTTTGTTCTCATATCCTGCTCTGCGCCCCGACGCGTCGCGGCACAGTCGCAACTTTGGAAGGCTCCCCTAAGATCAGGGCATATGAGTTAAAGTCTCACCTCCCTGGTAAGATAACTTATGTCGCCATGACGACATGAACTTTTTGTGAAGTCGACTTGGCAAGATAATTTATTTCGCCATGTCGACTAATAAAAGTTGATAAGTCGACATGGTAGGTTAAATATCTTTACATGTCGACATGATATGGATATTAAGTCGACTTGACAAGATGAAATATCTCGTCATGTCGTCAAGTAGAATGGCACTTTAACGCTTCCGTACATGCGATTGCATTGTGAAAGAAACATTGTGTAATCGATCAGAAAAGTACGGAAGCGTTAAAGTGCCATTCTACTTGACGACATGACGAGATATTTTATCTTGTCAAGTCGACTTAATATCCATATCATGTCGACATGTAAAGATATTTAACCTACCATGTCGACTTATCAACTTTTATTAGTCGACATGGCGACATAAATTATCTTGCCAAGTCGACTTTACAAAAAGTTCATGTCGTCATGGCGACATATATTATCTTACCAAGTCGACTTCTAAAAAAATACATGTCGTCATGGCGACATATATTATCTTACCAAGTCGACTACCCAAAAAGTAATGTCGACATGGCGAAATAAATTATCTTGCCAAGTCGACTTCACAAAAAAGTTCATCTCGTAATAGCGACATAAATTATCTCACCAAGTCGACTTCCCAAAAAGTATATGTCGTCATGGCGAGATATGTAGTGTGACGACTATTTCATGAAGCGCGCGTATATGACAAGCCCTTTGTGTAAAAACCAGAAAAACTCTGTTTTTCTCAGAAAAACTGTTTTATCAATGATAAACTCAGTTTATCAACAGATAAACAGAGTTTATCAGTTGATAAACTGAGTTTATCAGAAAAACTCAGTTTATCAGTTGATAAACTGAGTTTATCATTGATAAACTTAGTTTTTCTTGATAAACTGAGTTTATCAACTGATAAACTCTGTTTTTCTCAGATAAACTCAGTTTATCAACAGATAAACACAGTTTATCAGAAAAACTCATGACGACATAAACTTTTTGTGAAGTCGACTTGGCAAGATAATTTATGTCGCCATGTCGACTAATAAAAGTTGATAAGTCGACATGGCCCAGGTTAAATATCTTTACATGTCGACATGATATGGATATTAAGTCGACTTGACAAGATGAAATATCTCGTCATGTCGTCAAGTAGAATGGCACTTTAACGCTTCCGTACTATTTCTCTAGTTAAAAATGTTTTGTATATTTTATCTCTGTCCCCTGGTAACACGACTAAATTGCAATTCTTATCTATGTATTCATATCTGTTTTGATGATGTTTTGAGAGAGTCCAAACATAGCCCTGAACTATATATCAAAGTGTTGTGTGAAAGTCTACAAAAAGTTCATGTCGTCATGAGTTTTTTCTGATAAACTCTGTTTATCTGTTGATAAACTGAGTTTATCATTGATAAACACAGGTTTTCTGAGAAAAACATAGTTTTTCTGGTTTTTACACAAAGGGCTTGCCATATACGCGCGCTGCATGAAACAGTCGTCACACTACATATCTCGCCATGACGACATATACTTTTTTTGAAGTCGACTTGGTGAGATAATTTATGTCGCTATTACGAGATGAACTTTTTTGTGAAGTCGACTTGGCAAGATAATACATGTCGCCATGACGACATGAACTTTTTGTGAAGTCGACTTGGCAAGATAATTTATTTCGCCATGTCGACATTACTTTTTGGGTAGTCGACTTGGTAAGATAATATACGTCGCCATGACGACATGTATTTTTTTAGAAGTCGACTTGGTAAGATAACTTATGTCGCCATGACGACATGAACTTTTTGTGAAGTCGACTTGGCAAGATAATTTATGTCGCCATGTCGACTAATAAAAGTTGATAAGTCGACATGGTAGGTTAAATATCTTTACATGTCGACATGATATGGATATTAAGTCGACTTGACAAGATGAAATATCTCGTCATGTCGTCAAGTAGAATGGCACTTTAACGCTTCCGTAGGAAAGGTTGATCATTTAGCATATAAGTATTGGTGTGCACTGCAAGATTCTGGAATCATCAAAATGATAATAAATTTGGCCCAGTCTTGGTAAATTTACAAGCACTGTACAAATAAAGGTGTATATGGACACGTGGGCGACACGTGCGTTTTATCTATCAGGTCCAAATAGATATAAAAATTTACCAAATATATCAATTAGTAGGCGGTTTCTCGGCACAATTTGTATGATCACGTATTAGTCAGAATAATATTCTTTCACATGATTGGTAAAAAGAGCTTCTATTTCATTTTTTGAGAGGGGGCGTTTCCAAAACTGGTCATTACCTTTAATAAAACAATTTGACATCCTGTTTGATGCCCTCCGAACATATTCTGTCTGCGTGCCTGAAGGATAAACACAATTCACAATAAACACAAAACTATCATATTATCAGTGTTTTTAATGAAAGTTTAGAGAGTGGATTTTCTTGTTTCAAAATGATAGAACCCAAGCCAACTCTGCATGACTCCCAAAGGAGTAGATTTGCACCCCTAAGCATTAAACAGTGTAACAGAGTGCTATATGTGATTAAAAAGCTCATTAAGAAGACAAATATGCCCTCATGTTAATACGTTATCAGAATGACTTATGTTGTTAAAGAATACAGCTATAGGCATATTTACTCAATACAATAATACGTATAATAATATATATTTATTTACAGACTATTATCATTCGAATCAATTATCATTTCATCTCAGACACATGCATCATCAACTGTCGATGACGTTTACGCATGCGTAGTAGCTATCCATGTTACTTCCGAGGGCGAAGTAGTCCTATAACGACAAGTGATGAGAAAAATAGAAATTCGTGGAAATAAAACAGTTGAAATAATTATAATATTTGTATGTACAATATAAAATACATGATAATAATACAACATATAGTTCAGTTGGTAGAGCAGTGGTCTCGTAATGAGTAAATGAGTGTAGGCTATATTGAGTCAGAAGACAATTGACTGTAGGCCTATTTTGAAATAGTAAATAAACCATAAGCATTTTGAGTGACATACTCTGCTAAAAATATATCTCGCTAAAAATGATTTGAAATAACATGCCGACAGCAATGTAAAGCTACAGTCCCATATACGTCCCGGACCGTCCCGGACCATCCCGGACCCCATCCGGGGTGATCCGGGATTCGGTCCGTGTTGACACCGTGTTGGCACCGGGGTGGTCCTGGATGGTCCTGGATGGTCCTGGATGGTCCTGGATGGTCCTGGGCGGTCCGGGAGTCGACCCCGGATGTTTTTGACGGTCAAAAACTGCCGGGGTGGTCCGGGACAATAGTTTGATCCGGGTGATCCGTGTAGCCACCGTGCTGGGTCCGGGGTCATCCGTAGTGGCGCCGGGCGGTCCGTGTTGATCCGTTGCAGTCCGGGAGTGAGTTATTGACCGCCCAGGACCATCCAGGACCATCCAAGACCATCCAGGACCATCCAGGACCACCCCGGTGCCAACACGGTGTCAACACGGACCGAATCCCGGATCACCCCAGATCGGGTCCGGGATGGTCCGGGACGGTCCGGGACGTATATGGGACTGTAGCTTTTAAAGCATCACACTCTTTTGAACAAAACATCCCGGACCATCCCGGATCACCCCAGACCATGGTCCGGGATGGTCCGGAGTGGTCCGTGCTCGTCCGTGCTGGTCCGGCTTTATATGGGACTGGGGCTTAACTAAAAGTGTACATTGGAAAGCTTGACAAAATATGATTGTTTTATTTGTATTTTATTTAAAGAAATATATATATATAAATTTCCAATTCAATATCCTTGATTTGCTTTGCAACACACACTATTTTAGGAAAGATTAGCATGTAGAGCCATGCATGCAATCAAGGGTATTATGACGTCATCATCGTGAACGATGGGCTACCAATGTTTATGATTACAGGTAGAGGCCAAACAGAAATATTAAACAAAAAACAAGAAAAAACAATCTTACCGCTTCTTCTTCCACTTTATCACCTAATTGATTCTTGATCTTTTCAAACGTCGGTCTTTCACCCTCTTTCTCTTGCCAACAACTCTTCATCAAATTAGCCCTGAAATTAAAATGAAATAAAGATATTTCCTTAAACGATATTCTTATAATCATGATACAATGCTACATAAATATTCCTCTTTTCGTCTAGCTACGATAATCGGTTCAGAAATATCAAATTTACAACCTTTCCAATTAGGGCCTATCACTTATCTTCAACATCCGACATGCTTATCAGACAATTTGTATTGCCGTAAAGTGGTCTCTGGTGAAAAATTCAAAATTGGCCAGTAATTTGGTAAAAAGCATGGTTGTGTTTAAAAAGGATGCCAATTGCATTGATTACACTTTTCATACAACTAAACTTCCGGACATGGTGGGTCAGATGCAGACAAGTGTGGACAAATGAAATGAAATGATGTTGATGCATTAGAAGCCAATCACTTAATTTCAATGTTTGCGCTTGGTAATTCCTTTCTTTAATTCTTCTTATCATCATGTTGAGCTATGAATAAATTAGCCTACTACTACTACTTCTTCTATTTCTACTACTACTACTAAAACTACTACTACTACTACTACTTCTATATACTATTATGATAATAGTTTTTATATTAATGACAATAATAATGATGATGATAATAATAATAACAACTCACGTAGTTTGATCACATCCTTGTGGTACTATTAACCTGTAACCACTAATCAGCATTTCCTGTAAATTTTCTTTTCCCAGCTCTGAGTAAGGTCGTCTCCCTGTGAGGTTGATTTAACAATTTATGAATATATTATTTCAAAAATGTAAAACACCATAAGCTTCTTTTTATTCAAACTCATTATATCATGTTAGAACTTATGTTATATTCAAATACTATACTTCAATGCAGGGGCGGATCCAGGAGGGGGCCCCGACTCCTGGCCCCCACAAAAGGTTAACCAAGAAGATGGTAACGTTAATTTTACATTTTAAGAAAGACAGGCCCCCACCCCTGAGTATTTGTTTTTCTTTGCTCAAGGGGAAGGGGGAGGTGTCCATACCCCCCCCCCCCCCCGTTGACCAATAAAAAAAAGTGCTCACTACCGAAGGGAGAATCAGGGATTCGTAAAATAGGGGAACAATTATAGTCCTCCCACGCACTGACAAGCAATCAAGCAAAACAAAAGTTAAATTAAATTTATACAAAAAATCTTAAGCCAAGTCCTCAAAAAGAGGTGCCGGGGTACAATCAATACTCGAGGTATGCTACTTGGATTTCAAAAGAGGGGAGGAGCGAGGGCTGAATGCGCCCCTTTCCCCTCCCCCTAAACCCCCTCCCCTAACCCCCTATGCCCCTGGAAAAAAACGCCATTGGATGTATATACTCATCTTATCCAATGTACAAATATTGAGAATGATACTCTCTGTTTGGATTGAAATCAATAAAGTTTGTTTTTTAATTTGAATTTAAACACGATGCCCTATGCTCATTAATTATTCTATGTGGTGGGGTGGGAGTATGGGTCGAATTTACCCCTCCCCCCCCCAACAAAAAAAAAGCAATTGGATGTATGTAAACTCATCTTAAACATGAGCCCTATCATCATCCAAGCAATGTTCTTACCATAAGTCATTATTTCCCAGACCAACACTCCGTATGCCCAGACATCATCCTCGGCTGAACAAAGACCGTCTGAAAGTCTCTCAGGGGACATCCACATCTCATATATCCCATCTTTAGTCACCTTGAAGAAGAAAGAGTAATGAAACATCAATAAATCACGAATCTTTATTCATTGCATGTGCTCAACGAACGGTTCTAAATTATCCTCTTTCTGTCCTCATCTACAAATCGTCAACCACGCAATATTACTCAAACTTGTCTTAAAATAGAACAAGATGCGATCGTCGAGCTTGATTTTTATCGCTTGAATGCTATTTGATAATGGACATCGATTTACTGCTCTTCTCAAATACTCGATCAAAAGTACACTAGATTTTCAAATAGTTTAGCTATAGATCATTTAACCTAAACACATTCATTTGAAAATTCTTTTAAGAGTCATAAGGCATTCATGTGTTAATTTAGAATACCCAATGATGACAACAAACTTGTAATACTTCATCGTACAAAATGTAAAAAAGATATTCGATATTAAATAATCATACACTTTCTCCTTTGCTTACTGTATACAGTTCTCCGTGGTAGTAATTGTGGAGAGAAAGCTTATCGAAAGTTATTTATGAAATCATTCTGTTGCTCAAAATGGATGCCATTACTTACCAGATTTGACAGAGTTGTCAATCCAAAGTCAGCAACTTTACACCTTTTTTCCCCAGTGAGTAGAATGTTGTGAGCACATAAGTTACCATGTATAACCTGGAAATTAAAACATTATTTGTATAAAATCAGTGATACTCTTCACTTAACTGATTTATGTATACCAGAATAGGCATAGACTTACGTGCACAATGGTGGCAGGAACCTCTCCATAGTGACATAACCCTTTCGCTTAATATGCACATTTCTTTAAAAAGGTACGAGTGAGAGAGAGGAGACCGAAAATTTTGATAATTTGTCCTAGAAAATCTTTTATTTGTCATTAAAATATACGAGATGTAATATAACAAATTACAAATAAGTCGGTCAGCCCACGGGACCGACAAAATCGCTCTAGTGAACTCTCAGGAATGTTGTCAGAAGGCCCAGGAGAGTGGTATGTCGGTCTTGTAGACTGTAGGTCTCGTGGGCCGTCGCGAAGACCCAAGCGTTGGATATATGACTGGGTGTCTGTCTCGAGAGCTAAAGCCCAAATAGTCAACCTAGTTGGCTGATTACTGAGTAGTTGAAGAAAATTGGTAATTTCAAAATTCGGAAGGGGGGGGGGGGCGGTAACATAGTTTTCTAGAACTTGTTTTCATCTTCTCCTTTTTTTCTTTTTCCTTTTCTCTTAACTTTTTCTTTTTCTTTTTCTTTTTCATCTTCTTCATATTTGTTTTTTGTTTGTTTTGTTTTCGTGCAAGTATTATTTTTTTTATTTTCCAGATGCTTCATTCTATACCGTTAGCAACATCGAATGCAATCACATATTGTTCCATAAGAGTGATTTGATGGTCTGCTTCTAGAGTGTCTAGGTTCATATTTCTTTCTCTTATTCTTCATTTCCTTTTCTCTTTCACTCTGTATGTCTTTCTTTGGATTGATGTTTACCTTTTTATTAGCCAGATATTCCATACCATTTGCCACATCGAATGCAAACAGGTTTTGTTCCATGACTGTGATTTGATGGTCTGCTTCTAGAGTGTCTATGTTAGCATAGACAGAGGTTCTAGCTATGCCCCCATTGGTCCGAAGATAGGTGAAAAGAGTGCCATTGGGGACATATTCCGTTAGGATATACGACGGTTCTGGATCAGGATAAAGTAAATTAATTGCACATTTTTAAATTACAGGTAATATACAAATTAAATTAGGCTGTATATTCCCTTATAACCCTTTTTTAGCCCTCCCCAAAATCGTAGCCCTCCCCTAAAATATACTCGGAAGAAATACAGTTGGTGCCCATAAGCCCCCACACCCCTCTACCAAATCCCCTCCCCCTCTTTAGCAGGGCCCATGGAAAAAACATGGTAACTCTTTTACTATTTTTTTGTAAATACAGTTTTTTTCCCAGACGCCCCCTTCATTTCCCTTAATTATGTCGAATATATCCTTCATGTATGCATAGCAAATACTTGACTAATATATTCATCATCCATTATACGTGTATGGACACAAAACTTAGAAAAACAAAAACAGCGACAATGAATAATCAAAATGACGATGGCTTACCTGTTTTTAGGCAGCATCCAAAAACCTGGACAACGTTTTCATGAGTTTTCAGACTCCACAGTGGTACAAGATTGTCCAAGATGTCGTCATCAGTCAAAGAAGCTAGACATGAACAAAAATAGAACACTCAGTATTATGATAAACTTCAACACGATAGCGTAGACTTTCGAGAATTCATTTCAAAGGCAACGTAACTACCCTACACTTCTGATTTAACTGTTGTTCTGTATTCATTGTCTTCTTAATCATGTTTTTCTTTGAAAGGTAGCAAAATTAATGTTTCCGCTAACCTGGTAGTTCTCTTGCAGCTACAGGTATCACGTGACCATCGTTGACCGTCAGACCTCGCGTCTCTCCCTTCCACACGTGACCAAACTGACCATCACCGATCGATCGCAGACTCACGCTGATCCCGATATTTTCCCGCGGAATCTCGATCCTGCTTTTCTTCAAAGCAATGGCTGCCGATGAAAGAGTTAGAGGCAAAGTTTCATCAATGAAAAAGAAGAAGCTATTTTCAGTCTTGGTAAAACGAGGATGATGATCATGCTAATGATGATGGTGATCATGCTGATGATGAAAATGATGATGATAAAGATGATGATGAGGAGGAGGATAATGAAAATAATTCTAAGATGACAATGGAAATGGTGACGATGGTGGTGATAATGATTGAGATGACGATGAAAAGATGATCATGATCATGATGATAATAACGATGATGATTATGACGATGATGATGATGATGAGGAGGAGGAGGAGGAGGATGATGAGGTGGAAGAATTGGTAATAATGACGATGTAATGCATAGATGATAATGAAAATGGTGACGGTGTTGATGATAATGATGACGAAGATGACGATGATAATGATGACGATGATGATTGAGTTGACAATGATAACATGAGTAATGGTGATTGAGATGGCATTCATAAGATGATGATGGAGAAGATGATGATGATAATGATGATGATGCTGATGATGGTGGTGTTGACATTCAGGAGGCATTTTTAGGTATTCTTTTGATCTGACATAATAACAAAAAATTATTATTTGTCATAGTTAGCATAAATTGATCTTGTAGATACGGCATAGTTTACAATCACGACACTACAATTAGCATAAGCCGACATGAAACTTTAAGTGATGGAACAAAATAAATCACGTAAACAAAACTTACTTTTTGTTCGAAGAATCGGTGGTTTAACTGCTTTTCTATCTTGTGCAATATCGTTTCCGTTTGATTTACTAAAACGAAATGGAAAAGAAAGCATAATGTAGTATACGAGAAGGCCAAGCCAGAAGAATTTTCAAACGGAAACATTGGTTTCGACAAACGTAGAAAGCAGGTGATAAAATGCAAGGGGAAAAGGTAGGAGAAAGGCCTTGGAGAGAAAGCAGAAAACTGAAATAGAAGGTCTCAGGTTTGCTTAGAACAAGATTTAGCAAAATCATAATCACATCAAAAGCAGCGTCACAACATCAATTCAATTTCAATTTAATTTCATTTCAATTCAATTTAGTTTCATATAAGTATCATTAGTATTGACTTACCGAGTATATGAGGACTTTTGCATATCCAAGTGCGCTTTGATATTGTCAAAATAAAATAGAAAAGAAACAAAATTAGAATCTGTAGAGGAAAAGAGAAAGATATATGACTTATAATATATCTTGTCTATCAAAGATTGACCCAAAGTTTAGAATATTATTATATGTTTACTAATACAGGCAAATCGAATCAGCGAGATAAACGCCTCTGTTTAAAATAAAAGAAGAAGAAATTAACAAACGTACATGTATTTTTTAAGGGATAACCCTCCCCCCCCCGTTAAATATTCTTACCTTCTTTCTCTTTAAAGCCCCCCCCCCTCTCTCTCTCTCTCTCTGACTCTCTCTCTCTCTCTCTCGCTCTCTCTTATACACACACTCACATCTTCTCTCTTTCTTACACTTCACCGACCGGGCTTCCATATAATGGGACAGTGTAATTCCCCAAAACTTGTTCCTTTAAAATTTCATGTCGGGAATCAGAGAGGGGGCAAACTTTTCCCTAGAACCTATTCTATCAATCGTGGACCCGCCCCTGCTATAGCTCTTAAGTCTTAATCACCCATTACCTTTGATGGCTAGATCTCTCTGTAACCGCCGTTTCTTGTAGACAAACATGACATTAAGGCCGACTGAAATGGCAACGACCAGGAGAAGAACGATGAGAACAGCCAAAGCCCATTCGGGAAGCAAGCGAGGACAACTCGAACATGGATCTGGAAGAAAAAAAACACAAAAAAACTAGAAAATAGAAACAAAATATAATAAGAAAAGTCAGTGCCTTGCAATTCATCATTTTGAATGGAAAACCAGGATAGAAAAAAAATGATGATAATGATGATGATAATAATAATAATAAATATGCAGATGTGTTAAGAAAGAAATATATACATACATAAACAATAATTAAAAAGCAAAATTTGAGTACCAACAGGAGAGGTAGGTGGGGGACAACCCGAACAAACAAATATACAAATCAACACGTAAACAATTAAATCCACAAACAAACAAACAGTAACAATGTGAGTAAAATTGTGACGTAGGAAAGAGACCATGTTTCTTACCGCTATCAGGTGGAGGTAGGGTACTTCTCTCCGCTGGCTTCGGTGGTATGTACGTTGGTGTATCCGGGCTATTTACATCCATGGTATTCAACTATTGTGACGTAACAATGGTCAGAGCAAAGGGTCTGATGGCATTGGCGATATTACAGTGAAACCTGTTTATAAAGACTGCTCAAGAGAGACTAGACGGTGGTCTTTATAGGCAGGTGGTCTTAAAGTGTAGGTTCCGTTAGTATACTTGTGTTTCAATGAGAAACTAATTTCAAGGGAAACAAAAATATTTGATCTTCACGGACGGTTGGTCGTTCTATACAGGTGGTCATTAAAGCATGTTCGACAGGCTGCATTAGAGAGTGGTTGGCCAATTGTTCGCGGATGTTTCAATCAAACTTCCTGTCAGAAACAAAAAGGTGAAACAAAATGGACAAGGCCAACGATTAATGTCTATCTTTTGCATTGTAGGAACTAATATCATGGAGATTATAATAGACCTACTGTGAATGTAATATATAGATATTTGCTTGACTTATTGTGTAAAACAAAATAATGCATTAAAGCACTAAATTGGTCTTCGAATCTGTTGAAAGTGAACGATAAGATGTAAATAGATTTTTGGCAGATAATTCGCCTAAAATATCACAAGTGGAAAAGAATTATCATGAAGCAATCAGAAAGAAGACGCAATTTTTACAAATTGGTATAAATAACGACGAGGAAATTAACGTCATCCAAACAAAAGGGCATTAATTGATTTAGTCAAAGTTCTTGTCAGAAACAAAGTTTGGAGTCTGTTTGGAGCCAAAAAGGCGTTATTAGGGACTTTTAGATTTGCACGTCGACATAGTGGACTGCTAGTGCCTTAATTAAAAGGACGTCATATTGCCTTAAAAGGACGTCACACGTAGCTGTCCACGATGTCGACGTGCGAATCTAAAAGTCCGTAATACCTAAACGATAACACAGACTCTGTCTCTACACAATGAAGACCTTCTTCGAGTATCATTATAATACAGACACGACTAGCAGACAAGCATTTTGTTACATATTGATAATAGAAGTATTTCGTGTCTCTTAAATCTTACCTCTGTTGGGTTCATTGTGTAGATTCCAACAGCAGTCTATACATCATGTACTTGTCCATATTCTCAGCATAAATAGTCGTACGAATTATACTTTTGTTCAAAAACGGAGATCCTCCTTAACTATCCTAAATAATGATCCACATTAAAACATGTTCCAGAAATAGAAGCATGACGTGGTATACACCAGTTCGTAACTGCATAATTCACCCAAGAATTAATGTACGTGTATATACACACGGCTACAAGTATAAATCGACAGTCAGTATTGACCAAACTTAGTCAGAGTCGATGAAGCGTCCACAATAAGTCGATCTATTGATTTACTAGAAGGGTCAGTAAACACATGCAGATCTCTGTCCGGAGATAAAACGTTGTAATATTGACAGACGGTGTTAGAGACGGGGGCTACGAGGGTGTGGGCGTGGTTTCTAGACCAATATACTTCTTTATAGTTTGTTTGTCATATTTGATGCTTTAGGGAATAGGTAACTTTTTTTGGATCAAAAACAAAATCAATGATTTACCTCATGCTGCAATCATCATAAACCTATAGCATAGTCAACAATCCCATGACTTTTGAATAAATCATACGAAGAAAAATCATAAGTCATTGTGTAATTCAGTATCTCTTTACCGGTTGAATAATATATACAAATGAATATTACAATTATCAATTATAAAATTGTATAACTCGATATCAACTACTTTCAAAAAATCAACGTAAGGTAATTGCAATAGCATTTTTTTATTTTGTGCTTCGCATATTGAAATGTGCGAGTTATTACGTAATCCGGACGCGATTTCTATGGGACATACAAAAGGGTATTAAATAAATGCCATCGTGTTGACTTACTCAGGGCATGGAGTTTCTTAAAACTCCTTGCTCTGGGTATCCTCAGCATCGCTTAGCATCGGTGCTGTTTTTTCCTGAGGGCCCTGCAATTAGTATTACCCCAGCAATTGACAGGTACTCATTCAGACCTGGGTGGGGAGTGGCAAAATGTGGATTGATGCCTTGCCAAAAAGACGTAAAGAGCGGACTGGGCTTCGGACCCTTAACCCTTGGATTGGGAGTGACATGAATGGACCACTAAACCACGACACGTCATAATCACCACCCCTCCCCATCATTGTATACGGGTTATGCATCATATTTGTCCAGGGTTGGACGTGTCGTGGAATATAATCATCATGACATGTTTTTGGAGATGAGATTGATAATCGTGATAATTGACCATCGGTTAAAGTCTGTGTTTATTGGCCTACAAATAGGGGAATAGACTTTGGTAAATATTACGAAGGGGAATCGGAATGTAAAGGGCAGCCATGATTAGGTTACCAAGAGAGAGAGAGAAAGAGAGAGAGAGAGAGAGGGAGAGAGAGAGAGAGAGAGAGAGAGAGAGAGAGACAGGGAGAGAGAGAGAGGGGGGGGGCTGAGGGAATTAATAGGGGATGAGGCAACGGGGGAAGAAGTTCGGAAAGGAGAGAGGGAGGAAGTGAAAGAGAAATGGAGTGAGGGAGGGGAAATGGAGAGAAGAGAAGAGGGAGAAAGAAATAGAGAGAGAGAGAGAGAGAGAGAGAGAGAGAGAGAGAGAGAGAGAGAGAAGGGGGATATAATAATAAAAGCTGCATAAAAAAATACCCCAAAAAATTATAGATCTTAACTTATTATCAATATGTTATTTCAGACACTTTATTACCCCCCTGTTTGGAGCTTGAAGGATATTTTGTTTGTGAAACTGGTTTAACGCCCTTCTGGTTTCAAACAAACATAGCATTCACCTATTGTTTGTTTTTTCTTTCTTTCCAATCATCAATTTACTCAGAAATATTGCACTACGACTAACTTCTTACATTGACTATCCCCTTTGTACTTTGGACTACTGAATTAGCTGAAGTGTTAATTTTTGCAAGCAAACTCTACATTTTTCTCCAGTCCAGCACAAATAGATTGCGTAAATCGTGCAAACTATTGTTTAATGTAGTCCATGTTTTTACTTTTTACAAGAAAGGGAGAGATAGAAATAGATAGAAATAGAGAGACAGAGAGAGAGAGAAAGAGAAAGAGAGAGAGAGAGAGATGCGAAATCATAATCGAAAAAGGACTTTTATTGTTTTATTACATAGGCTAAGCTCTTTTTACGTTATTTTATTTCATTTCATTTTTTACAAGCAAAATGGTACGACAAATAATCCTAATATGAAAGAATTACAATGAACAAAAGTTATGATGATTGATCCACAGCTTAAGTTTTAAAAAGTGAAGAGAACAAAACAAACCCCCAATACACTTTGAAATGAGCTTGCATCAGGGAAAAGATATTAAACTTGGTTTGATCATTATTCGTTAAATTAATTATATTGATATTAAAATACAAAAGTGGCATGACAGGCTATTCTCGTAAATTTAATGCACAAAATCTTTGTTAAAGGTACTACAAAGTTTTGGGAAATTTTGAAAATTGGGTGGATAGTGATTCTTTAAAATGTTGATATATTTGGATGCCCCTGTGGATGTATTACAAGCACTAGAAAATTTAGCCCCTAAAACACTTCTGCCTTCGAGACAAATTGAATATAACAATTTACCGGTGCTCCCGGTAAATTTTGATGAATTTCAAATAGCGCCTACGGCCGTACAATGGTAGCTGCGACCATGAAATTCTCAGAATATCTAGTTGTGATATATAAATTCCAAACGGGAATAGCTAATCGGTCGATTTTAGTCTAGAAACGTTGTTTTATAGCATAATTAATATTTTAGCCTGGAGAGGGAGCTATACATCATAAAGAGGTTATTATTTACATTTTCATAACTTTAGACTCGATTTCAACCGCGACAACGATCACTGAATATTGGATCGCATATGCTTCAAATATGTTCATTTGAACCAAATCCATGACCCCATACCAAAATTTTGGATCGAATATGCTTCAAATATGTTCATTTGAACCAAATCCATGACCCCATACCAAAATTTTGTATTACCTGTAAGTGCCTATTTACAAATCGCATATGCTTCAAATATGTTCATTTGAACCAAATCCATGACCCCATACCAAAATTTTGTATTACCTGTAAGTGCCTATTTACAAATTATTTCATTCACCTGTTACGTATAACTGTATTTCAGTTTCAATTGCATACATTACGTGTTGCTAGGAAGGACAAGGGAAAATGTTTTTCCTACCTGCTATTATTCGTAGCAGGTGAATGAAATCATTTGTAAAGAGGCACTTAAAGATTTGTGCATTAATAAATTCGATTACATTACGAAAATGGTCTATTATTTTGTCAACTTGGTGCTCTGTTTTTTCCGCTCTAGCGCCCTCTTGTGGACAAAACTATCGTAACAAAGCGTCTGTATCCATAACGACTGAACCCGGAAGTACCATAGGCAATACACGTGCAGTCTTGTTTTGCACTACAAGAACGTAAACAACAAGGCCGGATAGCATAACACTAACAGAGCTGAGCTACTTCTTCGCAAAGCTATAAGCTGGCTTCGGTGAGATCAAGACCATTCTTTCCAGAATAGACCTTCTTCTAGTATCTTCATTACTTTTTAGATCCTGAATAGGTCTATAGCTTGGTTTAGCTAGATCAACAGCTGTTTGTAACGGGCTGTATTTCATCGAAAGCTTGTCATTTTCCGTTCTAAAAAACAGACATGGCATCGGGAGACGAGGTAGCGTTTCGCTCCATGGTTCGCGGCTCAGGTCTGGGGGAGGTATGGACTCACACCACCGACCTGGAGAAGTTCCAGCAGTATGGATGGAGGACCACCACTAAGGAAGATTGTTATACTCCGGATACACTGATAGGAAACTGGAATGAAGAGAGGTTTGATATCAAGAGGATACGAGTACCAAAGAGTTTGCCATCACAGGTAAGGAAACAATTTAATTGAAATTATTGAACTTGAAGAAAGGAAATTAATTATCAATTAAGCAAAGGGCAATGGGATACAAAAGGGAAGATTCATATCTAGGCCTAGTTCACAAGAGAGAAGAGGAATTAAAAACAACAAATTAACTTTGACACAGCAGTTTGAATCGTCTTTAAGTTAGATCGGGGCCCTATTCTATAGCTTATAGGCCCTAGATCTACATGTACATGGAAATCTAGCCTGGATATTATTTTTAGAAATTGAAGTTGAATCTTCTTGATGGAATCTACAAAGATCAAGCTTAATCTAGATTACAAGAGAAGAGAGTCTAATAAGATTAAGAAACAGACCTTCTAGAATCAAATGTTAAAATATGCTCATGTTCTTGTGTCTTTAAACAAAATCTAATTTATTTTTTTGGGTTAATGACAGAGTTTCTATTCTAAGTTTCTAAATTTATTTTGATCAAGTTCTAAAGAAGTGATGATATAATGTTGTAATTTGCCATTAAAAATTGATTGAATAAATTCAGTGTATTGGCTTCTGTCGAAAGTAGATGTAGATAACAAGATAAAGAATGTTTTTAATATATACAAATGTACCTTTCTATTGTTCTTTTTCTGCAGTATGACCACTATTTTGACACAACCCAGAAATCATCTTATGTCAGCGGTCCCAAGCCAGTCCCTAAACATATCCTTCATTTAGCAGGTAAGCCTAGCAATGTTTTACATCAAAATATGGTACTATACATGTACATGTATATCAAGGTTATATGATAGGAAATCAGTCCAAAGTGTAATGGATTTTAAAAGCGTTGCAGGGATGTGCACAGTGAAAATCTCAACTGACTTGTAAATGGGCCAAAATGATGTAAATATCATAATTGAAAACTTTCTTAAAAGTATGGTGGAAAAACATTTATTATTAGAAAAATTACAGTTATTTTACAAATTCTATTTGTGCAACTAGCAGTGTTTTATTCTCGCCATTTGTTGTGTACAAAATGTGGGCTTCAATATTCACTCATAGACAGAAAAACAAGGTCTTTTGATCTGATATTTTGCAGTTTGCACATATACTTTCATAAACTCATTTTGCTGCTACAAATACATTCTGAAATTAGTTTTTGAGGGCTTGCAAATCCCTGATAGGGGCTTTAAGATATCAGAGAAAGAAAAATTACTTAGGGATCGAATCTACCCGCAAAGCCTTGTGGAGCATGCATATGGGGATGGGGTGGGGTTGGGTATAATTCAACTTTATATTATTACTTGATTTAAAAAATTAAAAAATTAAAAAAAATGGTGAAAAAAAGTTTTCTCTTTGACAAATACTGTCGGGCCTACTAAATGTATTCATATATTATCAAGTCTTTATATCATTCAATGAAGTTCAAGATAAAGAGTATTAAATCATTTTTTTCCTTGATTTTGACACCCTTTCAGTTGAATATTATTAACATTCTGTTTCCTCTTTCTTATGTTTGTTTAATGCAGCCCGTGAATCTAGATCCTTCCCTGCCTCCCAGCCAGAATTAGACCCTCCAGCAGTGAAAGAACGTTATAACTCATTCGAGACCACATCTAGAGCTTCATACGTTGACCCAAAATTACGGAAAAATCCTGTTCATCAGACGGAAACTAGCCAACGATAAAAGCCTTAACGTATAAACCGTACTGAACTTATTCGCTGAGAGGAGCCATCATGTATTCAATGTTGAACCAAGCCAATGAGAGAAGGTTGTATAAACACAGCAACGAGCCTAGCTTACAGCCAATAGGAGAAGCCGTTACATACACATTTCAGACAATTGAAGAACATGTTACGCACAAATGTTGATAAGAGAATTGATTATAGTTATGATTAACATTCAGAATACTTATTTTCTCTTTTTGTATCTCCTTTACTTGGTAATCCCTGCCTTCTGTTCAATTATTATTATGTAAAGTTTCTCATAACTGTTAGAAAGAGGTATTGGCCAAAATGGTTATGTACATGTACATGCATGTATACTGTACATACCGGTATCCAAATTGATACATTATACATGTACATGTAAGTGCTCTTATTTATGTTATTAACATTAGCAATCATGCATGATATTACGAACAATGATATGCAGAAGTAAGATGTTCATTATCTTCAGGTGTAGTTCATTCACAAAGTTTGTATGTCGTGCTGTTACTATCATCGAGTCACCAACAATTACAACCAAAACCATGTATGACATTGGATATATATATTGTTGTAAAGTATTGTACTTTTCAAATCAAGTTGGAAAAAGTATGAAGGAATTTCTCAAAATATATATTTTCTACCTGATTAATATATACACTTTGTACAGGGTGCCCTAGATTTTTAATATTTATTTCAACAAATCATGTTTTTTCACATTTTTTAGAGTAAGGTAAAGTTGCTCTTCTAATATGCATACAAATTGAATTGGAGAATAGATTTGGTAGGTGATCGCTGTTGTACGAGTCATGGAAAGTGAATAGTAGTCCTATTGTCTCTAATTTCAACAATCATGTAATTTTAGAATGATTCTAAACTAACAACAAAATCACTGCAATAAATCAGAACATTGATGTGGTATGAAAATGAACTTGATTTTCTGAAAGTCTTTGTGATTATGTTTTCTTTCGTGTATATTACATGTATCTTTAGATTACAAATGTATGTTTTCAAATGCAATAGGATAATGATAATGTTATAATTCATTCAAATCACTATATCACATTGTCTGTTAAGAGTCAGAAGGGCATTAACTCTGCATAAAAGTATATGAGATAATGTCAATCTGGCTCCAAACTATATGATATAGTGGCTTGAATATTCAGCTAAAAAAATTGCTGCAGAATACTACAACCACCGCCACGTTGATCAAAGTTTTAAATTTTGATATTGTTAGATAAACATGCATGCACACCATATGTATCAATATAATCATTTCTATGCATGCTGGAATTAAATTTTGTGGAATTGCTGTAAAGTTTTTGAAAAATAAACATGAATGTTATATTGAATACAAAATGTCTTTTACTGTTTTCTTTGATGTTGTTTGTTTATTGAAAGATGCACAACGTCACACTCACAGGAATGAACTATGAATGATAATGCCTTCAGCACTTGTGAAGTTGTGTTCAATAAAGAAAATAAGTGCTATCAAAATCGTGAGAATCCTATTTGGTATACTCCATCATGGTTTCCCCCTCTTTCTCTATCTACCTATTTTCTCTCTCTCTGCCTCGTTTCTCTCTCTGTGCCTCTTTTCTCTCTCTCTCTGCCTCTTTTCTCTCTCTCTCTGCCTCTTTTCTCTCTCTCCCTGCCTCTTTTCTCTCTCTCTCTGCCTCTTTTCTCTCTGCCTTTTTTCTCTCTCTCTGCCTCTTTTCTCTCTCTCTCTCTGCCTCTTTTCTCTCTCTCTCTTGCCTTTTTTCTCTCTCTCTGCCTCTTTTCTCCCTCTCTTGCCTTTTTTCTTCTCTCTGCCTCTTTTCTCTCTCTCTTGCCTTTTTTCTCTCGCTCTGCCTCTTTTCTCTCTCTCTCTCTCTGCCTCTTTTCTCTCTCTCTGCCTCTTTTCTCTCTCTCTTGCCTTTTTTCTTCTCTCTGCTCTCTTCTCTGCCTCTTTTTCTCTCCCTGTGCCCCTTTCCTCTTTCTGTTTGCTTCTTCTTCTTCTTCTTCTTCTTCTTCTCTCTTCTCTCTGTCTCTCTTTCTCTGCCCCCTCTATCTCTCTCTTGTAATCCCTTATTCCATCTCTTTCTTTATTTGCCTCTTTCTTTGGCTTTCTGCAAACTGTCTCCCCACTCCCTAAAATTAACTCTTTCCTTTAAACAGCTGTCTCCATCCCCATTATCTCCTATTGAAAAAAATAAATAAATCTTAACTTTCAACTCCCCCATCCTTCCTTCACTCTCCCTTTGTCTCTCTCTGAACATGCAATCTACCTTGTGTCTTAGCAACATCTTGACAACTTAAACAAACAATTCCTCTGAGAAAATCTCCTTTTTTATTTCATATATTTGTATCTCTATACACATTTATGGACCTACTTCTAACTTCTAAATGACATTTCATGACCATTCAATATACATGTACGGAAGTAAAACTTCTTGTTTCTGACCACAATGTTCACAACAAAAATACAGAAGGCATGCAATTCACCATCACACCATCACATCAATACAGTATACATGTCAACATCAACGCTATAGTCTACATCAATTACTATCAATTCTTTCTAATGTTCGATGAATAAATTGGAAAACATATCTGAACTATTCTGTAGAGGGTGATTCCATGTAGTACAACCCAGAGCCATCTATACACAGAGTTTGGCCAACTTGGTTTCACTGGGTCACATGGCGTATATTATCTTGTCCAACTCGAACCGGGTTGGCCAAACTCTGTGTATAGATGGCTCTGGTACAACCTTTGACATTTATCCATTTATTTCATCCATGAATGTAAAATCTCTTGATATGGCAATGTCTAATGGTAGTGATAGCAGAAAGCACCAATATTCAATGGTCATATCAATAAATTCTTCAATTTTGGATGAAATATATGCAGAAATAAAATGTCTGTTTAGAGCCATAACTTGGGCGTCAATTCTGTATTAAAGCATGAGTTAACATGCTTTAGGCTCATATGATGTACAAAACACATTGCATGGAATCGCCCAAAACTTTATTTGCTCTTGAAACATACTAAAACCCTGTGTAGTCCAATAGTATCATCTTTTCCTGGCATCTTTTTTAAAAATCTGCCAATTAAATCTTGGAAGACAATATAAGGACCTAGTATTGCTTGAATGATGAACGTGTTCGAAGAACTTATACATGTAACGTTGTGTGCCCCACAGAAGGGCGCAAATGGCTGCACTGACAATGGATTTACAGTTTCCGGAATAATTCAATTAAAAGTTTTGACCAATTTATGTGCATCTCGCTTCATTCATTAGTATACCTTTGCCAGTGACAGCTTTATCACTTTAATATCAAAATTTCAAATTGAGATATACGTGAATATACATCATTCTGTAATTCTGAATGAATATTCCTATGAAAACTGACAAATTATGTTGTGCTATCATCAAAATCTAAAATGTTTACCTAAAATTTTGTATTCATTGTCCATGTACATGGATGAACAAAATTACATGATCAATTAAAGATAAAAGGTATGTGAGAGGAAAAAAAGGTGAAAATAAATTCCTTACTTGAAGAAAATATATCCACATTGATAAACTGTACATAAATTTTGTGCGTCAAAATAATGTTTTTTGTACAGGATATATAGATCTTTAAATATTTGGTTTTGTAAATATATATAACTCTTCAAAACAGTATTATTTGTATCAAACACACACTGATTATCAAATGATCATCACAGTTAAGTCATGAATAGTAAACAAAAACAGGTACAGCTAACAGCAAAATTATTCATACCCCTTGTAAATGTAATGGTTTCTGTGTTTTTCATAACTTAATCCCTCTATCCATCTCTTTCTCGTACATACCTCCTATCCTCTTTCTCCCTCTATCAGTTTGTTTCTTTGCTTCCTACTTGCACCTCAACTACATTTTGCATTGAGAGGGCCTGGGGTCCTGAAATACACTATATGAGAAGAGCTATTATTATTAGTATATTCTCTTTCAACTGAGTATTCTGGTCTACCTCTAAATACCTCTATCTTATCAAGTGATATATAAATCCAGATTATTGCCATTTCATTATTACTATAAATTATTATTAAGTAGTGATGTAAATGCATGATTTTCAAGTCAAAAGTAGAAAAGTGATTGAGGTATTGTACTTCACTGTGTCATGTACATGTAAAGGCACAGCCTACATGTATATATCAAAGTTATCCATTTGATCATCGGTCTGAAAAATTTGAAATCTTACCTCATAATATACATGTACATTCATTACAGTTCTGAGATGCTTAAATTGTCCATGAAACAGATCTAAAATCTAAATACATTCATCTTCAATCATGATCTAATTTCTCTAGAAAATTCAATATCAATATTCATATTTGGTCCTGACTTTTCCAGAATACACAAAACAGATAAAAATCACATGCACCAAACACATTTTCACAGGTAGGAAATCACATTAAAAAAAACTTACTTCAATATACTCTATTTATCTATTTTTTGTCCAATTTTTTTGATTGGGCACCATACAAATCTGATATATTATTACATATATTTCAAGAATATTTGCAAGACAATGAAAACACACATCCCACCATAGGTTTTGATGAAACGCCTGGGTATCTTGCAATCACATTGCTAAAGGACACAAGTGCCACAGCAAGGAACCATGAAAGATACGATCCATTGATGATTTGTTAGGGTGTCCTTGAAGGGTTTAACATTCTGTTACATGATATATAGATATAATGATGTTGAAGCAATGAGTTAGAGAGATTTCTTGAGGCAGTAGGCAAGAGCCAGTAGAACGGCTGATGATGTCACAATGGCAGTGACTGTCTGGGTGTTGATGATAGAGGGCAGGCTGCAAGTAGAACCTGCTTGATGGGAAGGGAAACAAAGAGAAATGGAAACAGACAGAAGAGAAAGAGATGGATTGATAGAAAGAGATTGATAGAAAGAAAGAGAGAGGAGAGAAAGACAGAGAGTTGATGATGCTACAGATATAAATACAGAACAGATGATAATATTACAGGCATGCAACCATAAAATTTGCTTATGATTGTTAAATGACCAAGGATTGGATGTTACTCACAAAGCAATATACATTACATATTTTTGTTAATGTAAATTTATGAAGCTATTAATTGTTAAAGGGTAGAAAATGAAGAGTTATGGTCTATGACAGATATGGAAATTACATACATGTAGAAGAACATATTTTGTACATTCCACATTTTAAAAGATGAAATGAGTGATTTGAAAGGATTTTACAGTGAAAAATCTTTGCACCATCAAATTATATATAAGTTTTTCAACTGCTTTGATAAGATAAAAGAGTTTAATTAATAATCATTTTAACAATTAATACCTTTCCACATTTATTGATCCTAAAGAATGTTGACAATTACATAATGTAACTATCATAAAGTCACAATATTCACATTAGATTTTTTTTTAAAATCCACATTACTCGGCAATTAATCTGGCAAGTCCTTGAGATACATTTGATTGAATTACACAGAGGGCACTTATTCGTTTTGCTGCATTGCTAAGTGTGCTATCTGGACATGGACATGTAGTCTATAGCAGTGTTAAAAATACTTTTCTGTCCAGGGTAGCTCTTTTAGGATTCGGTGTGATAACAGTGTGATTTTTTCAGAGTAACATTGAAGTGCCTTATCATTATATTACCAGAGCTCTTGTACAGTTTACCAGAGCTATTTTTGAGCTTTCAAGAGCTAAACCGCTCTCCGCTCCCATGCATTTTTCCCCCACTGGTCTATTATGATACATAATGCTGCCATAATTTCACAACAAATTTGCTCACTTAGAAATTAATGGCACTGGTTTCACCAGCTATATCAATTGTTCTAACAGGAGAGGATCGTATTTTGCTCCTGATGAACACTCAGGGCGTCAAACATTTAATACAATACTGGCTTCCATGCATTACCAGGGTCTGAGACTTTTATTATTTTGAATTAGTGTAACCTTCCATTGATAACAAGCTATGTGGAAAAGAGCTTTTGATGTCTGTGAGATTTATAAAGAGCCGCATAATGACAGGCGCTCTTTACATCTTACAAATACATATTTACAATAACATCAATACTACGATATGAAAATATATATGGAATGAATATATCATATAGATCTTACATGCAAAGGAGTGATTATCATTATAATGGGAGTGTCCAATACCAGGCAAAGGGGGGTAAGATCAGGCTTCACCTTTGGTAGCAGGGGTGTAACTGTGCCCCTCCCAGTTCATAGACTTCTGAACAGCTAGCTTCCACTTGGCATAGTGCGACTCTCGAACTGAGGGTGAGGCAGAGAAAGAGAAAGGGTGACGAGAATAAATACAAAGTGGTAAATATACTAAAGAATAATATAATTATCATGACATTCTCATGACACTGACTCTATATTAAAGTCATTAATTGCCCTTTGCACAAATATGCCCAATACAAAAATTATCTCCATCACTGCAATCTTCCTATCTATTTAAACAGGAGGATCCAAAACTATTGAAATTGTAGAAATTCCAATTGGTCACACTTTCAATTTTCTCTTTACCGAGCATAACCTTTCAGTTGACTCAAATTGATTTCTATTCAAGAACTTGCAATCAACCCCCCCAAATTTTTTCTTCAAAAATCCAATGATGCATGATTATTTGTGTGTAGCTACCCCCCCCCCCCCCCCTCCAAGCCCTGACTTGTATACATTTTATTGGCTAAGCCATCCAACATTGTCGCTTTATTAGAGCTACATTGTAGATGTATATTTACCATCTTCTTCAATGACAGGTGTGAAGGTATCCGTGTTACCCGCCGAGGCATCCTCTATCTTCCATACTCCTACAGCATGGCCTGCAGCCATGGCAACGCCTAGAGCTGTGGTCTCTGGCATCGAAGGTCGTACTGGGAAAAAAAGAAGATGAGATTATTACTTACTCTGAAGATGATCGTTAAAAACATAAATATGCTATTAATGAAAATGTTTATGAGAATATTGATAATATTCACACAATAATTGACAATCATGATGATGATAACAATTATAATGATGGTGGTGATGATGGTTATGATGACGACAGTAATTGTGATGATAGTAAGTACATCCGTAATAAACATGGTTGCAGTATTAATGTTATTATTATTCATTTAGCACTTCAAATACATGTTTATAAAAAAGAACATACAAATAAGTAAACAATATATGACAATAATATCATAGATAGTGATAATGATGATAGGGAGAAGGATGATTAACATCATACACTTAATTGGCATAATGGGTACTATGATAACGATGATGTCGGCTACGATGATAATAGTGATAATGATTGCATTATGTTATATCCTCACCAACAGGAATGTTGAGAGTATCTGCCTGTAGCTGCATAAGGAGATTGTTTTGGGTCATTCCTCCATCAACCCTCAGCTTCTCCAGTGGAATGCCCGAATCTTGGTCCATAGCATCTAACAACTAAAACAAAACAACACAGTTCAACGAGTTGTAATGATGCCTCCTCAGGGAAACATTAATTTATATTCAGCAAAGCAATCTCACATACAAAATTACTATCAAGTGTCGTCTGCTATGCCGATTGTCGCCTGCTTCGTTTAAAATAGACACACGAAGAATCAAAAGTGTTTTGAATTGATGCAAACTCATATCATTGCGAAGGGGAAGCCTTACTGATCAAATACAACAACTCTTCTCTTCAAAATATGTTTAGGGCCTGCAGTAATCAACTCTCAAAAATGTTAGTTTTGAGATCCAGATTTTCTGCCTTCAGCGGTCCTTTGTAGAGCGTCAATATTTGTGACGTCACATACGGGACACGGCTGGCTAGCTGCATACTGCTACACGGTACTGAGCTGTTCGTCCAGTGTGTGACGTCACTATTCAGAGCTCGCTACACTTGTGTGTTTGACTTACGTTCAGGGGCGTTCGGGGGTCTAAGGAGGGTCTTGAAAAATTGCATTTTACGCCTTAATTTCCATGATATCTATATGATTTCTCAGCAAATTGTTCGTGTTTTTCAAGAGAAAATCTTTCCATCCATATGTAATTTGTTCCTGATTATGAGTTGTTAGTGAATTTTCTTTGTGTAGCTCCTTTAAAGGCTAAATAGCTTGCCAATAGAAATAAGAAGCTCCCTATCTCTCAATGTCTTCAAATTCAAATTAAAAACATATTTGTTCAATTGAGAGATTCTATTTTGTAGAAGTTAGTAAGAAAAATAGGCTTCGAACCAGCACAGCTGAATATATTTTGTATAAAAGCTGCGCTATATAAATTTATTATTATTATTAATATTATTCTAGAAACATAAATCAGAAGCTGAATTGACCCTCATGATACTATAAAGCAGGCCTTCTCAACTAGTTTATTAGAAGTGCCAAAACGAAAAGAATTTGTAATTGAAGCGCCACCCTGTATAGTTGACTGTGCTGCGAGGGAGCGTAGCGACCGAGCCGAAAATGGGTGGGGTCAGGGGGCGAAGCCCTAACGGGGGTAGCAGGGGGTGGGGCCCCCTGAAGCTGCTGGATCTAGGCCTAGGGCTTTTTAAAGGCCCAAATGGGGCATTTTCAACACCATTTCATTCCACAATATATAATCAATCATAATTTCTTATTGAAAAAAAATTAGTACAATTCATGGGTAAAATTACACCGGAGGTATATTTATATGCATTTTTTGTGTGCAATAAACACGGGAAATGTCAAAATAAAGTGAAAATCAAACAAACAAAAACAAGTTGTTTCCAAAGATTGGCAATGTTAAAATTGGTATCCCATCGTAAGCTAATTGTTTAGACCTTTGGTTTAGATTTGTATAAAATGGTAAAAAACGATAAATTCCCCCTTCTTCCTGTTTGTTAAGCAGGCATTTTGGGCTCAAATTCGACTGCAACTTCTTGATTTAGCTGAGTATTTGATTCTAAAATAAATATTTTCTTTCTTTCTGTTTTTTTATTTTGTTGTTGCAACAGTCGCGCGCCACTCCGACTGACCGCAAGCGCCACAAGTGGCGCGCGCGCCGCCAGTTGAGAAGGCCTGCTATAAAGTAATTGAAAAGGTTTGTTTTAATAATAGACACAGCTTGTTCCCCCCACCTCCTTGTTTACCTTGATGAAGAAAAAAAAAGGGTTGCTGTGTCAAACAAGCTTGGATGTTACTCACAAAGCAAAATACATTTCACATATTTTCAATGTAAATGTATGAAGCTATTAATTTTTGAGGGGAAGTTTCTTTTAATCAAAAGTATATGTTATAGAATAACATTATCAAAACAGCACTGGCTAAAAGTACATTTACAGGTTAAACACAATTATAAACATCAAAATTTCTCTTTCAAGCAATAAGATTCTCATCAATAAGTACCACTTTCTTACCTCTCTTGTTTGGTAACAGACTGCTTCTAGAACAGCCCTAGCTATATGGGCCTTGGTGCTGAACTGAGTTAGACCACAGATAGTTCTGAAAAAAAGGAACAACAGAAAGTCGTTTAATATCTACTAGAGCGCCGTCATGGCCGCCTTGCTAAAGCCAGGGTAATAATAGCGTCTTGACGATGGCCCTCGCGCTATTGAAGTCTGTAAATTCTGGAGAGCGAAGCGAGCCAGAGAACCGAGGCGCCCGGCCCCCCCACTCAGAGGTCGGAAAAAGGGGGTGTTTTTCATTTTTCTCTCATCTCTTTGGAATCCTGAGAAATTATTCCGAATTTAGGGGGGTACATTGAGCATTTTTCCTGATTTAGGGGGGTCTCCAAGGCAGGAAAAGCCCGCAAAAAGCCTGCGAAAGGGGGGTTCGGAAATGTTGGCAGTCCTCAGATAGGGGGTGCTTTCAAAAAGAGGGTACGAGCATATGCGTACCTTAAATAACACTGAGTGGGGGGGCCGGGCCGAGGCGCTTGCGCTGAGGGCCTCGTAACTAGTGATCTAAATTATATATTCATGAGACCTGATTTCCTAATGAATTATGCATATATACGTGAATAATGTAACTTCCGCAGCAATTGCCCAACACAGCCCCGGGAGATATGCGGTCAGTCTCATAGATTTGGAGATGAGCTTTATCCCAGATAGGACCATCCAGGACACAGAACAAGTGGAGCAGGACATCACTACCTTTGGAATGGGGGAGGAGCCGTTAGATTACAGTGACCCGTTCAATGCTGGTCTTCAGAACCTTCTGCTGGCTGGCCTATCCAAACCTCTGTCCATGTACAAAGGGATCTATCAGCATGATCACATGATGCCAGCAATCAAGACAGACCTTGCTGTTAGCTTTGGTATGTTTTATTGACATTATTTTGACAAGAATACTGAAAGTAGACTGCCCTCCCAGATTGATGTGGTGAGTTGTAAACCTAAAGTCAAACTCTGAACCAACATTAACAAAGTGATACTCATTATTTATTTCATAGATGAGGTAAAATGATTTTTTTTTTCTCAATTGTTTTCCAGGGTGAATTCCTCATTTTCAAGTTTATTTAATCATCAATCTACTGAATTTGTATGCTTATCATTCATATGTATCATTCCAACATGTATTTCTTAAATTTGTTTTAAATGCTTATAATTGATTTGTAATGTTTTGTTGGAAACATGAATAAATTTGAAATTTTAATTTTTTTTTTAATGTAGGATTAGTTTTTACTCTGTATTCCCTGTTTTTGTAGAAGGATTTGTTATTTGTAAGATATTCGGATGGTATCGTGAATAATCGAAGGAGAAAATAGGAAGCAGTTACTGTAACTTAATTTCTAGGAGTGCTTAATCACTGAATAATGACCTTTAATCTCTTACTCTGCAGCGTCCATCCATTATGACTGCTGAATGCGCACACATCTACCAAGACAAGAGCTGCATGATGACTGAGTACAAATCAAATGAAACCCTTCTAGACCTAATCAACAAATATGTTGATTTTTTTTAATACTCACTACACCACCTGAATTATTTATGCTCAAATATTCTTTGTGTATACTTTTCCTTCACACAGACTGCATGTTTCCCTTTTGTTGTGTAGTATGTGTACTTAATTATGTTCTGTACCTACCTATACCGTATATTATTAAGTTATTACTGGAGACCAGCCATTGATAGGTCAATGGCCTCTGTTGGCTCCACCACAGTCTCAAGAATTTGTTCTAGGTGCTTAAAATTCTTTTAATATTGTTATGTTATTTTCTTGTATTGTTTTGTTGTGTTAATCGGATATTGTATGTAAATTGTTATATGTTTTTTATGAGAAGTGGAAAAGTAAATGAAACGAAATGAAATGAAGTCAAGGCTGTTAATAAGAAAGATCTATCTGAGGACTGGGTGCTGTTCTTCGCTATTGAGATCCTGCAGGTCGTAGAGTATATGCTCTCCCCCCCCCCCCCCCCCCCCCCCCCCCCCCCCCCCCCCCCCCCCAGATCTTAGCCGTTTCACGGCTGATCGCCATGAAAATTTGCATGCATGTCAAGTGAGGTGTATAGAATACTATGGTACATGTAGTTTCAATTTTTTGGAAATTCACTCATTTGCATATTTATGGTAATTTATGCAAAGAAGGTCATAAAATTTACATTTTTACCCATATATCATATATTATTCATATTTAAGCATTCTTTTACACTACATTTATTCATTAGACCATTTGGAATAATAATACACAAAAAAAAATTGGAAGAGCCAAGTTATCTCTTGTTTTGATAATTTCTTATGTATTTCAATGTTTTTTTTAACTTATGTATTTCATTGTTTTTGTTGTTTTATTTCATTTCTAACTATAATTTGACCCCCAAAATAAACACTTAAACTATAAACAAGACCAAATAACCAAAGTTTTATTTCTGTTTAAGAAAAAAAGATACTTCCATATGTTTTTTACACAAATCACGAAAATGAGCGATTTTCGGGCTGACATGCAAAGACAAAAAGTCATGTGACTTTGTAACAGTAGGTACGATTTTCAAAAAAAATTGTTTCAAAAGATGCTTAAGACTCGAAAGAAAAGAGTAATGAAAGGAAAACGTTATACCTGCCCCGGAGAAGTCGCGAAATTACTACGGGGGGGGGGGGGGGGGTCAAATTGGTGGTGGATTTGGATCTACATGTATATGCACAGTACATACAGTATCAACTTGACCAAGGCATTTGATATGTCTTTGTCTCTTTCAACCCTTATGTAATAATGGGTATCCTGTAGAATGTATTTCTTGTTACGAATCGTTCCCAAGTGTGTACATACTCCGTCAAGGCATTTTAATGGCAGTTACGTCATAGTAGCTCTCTCTTTGATTGGATGATTTTCACCGAAGCTTCAGTTGGGTCAGAATATTTGCCAAATGAAAAACATGAGAAATTCAGATCACTTGTTAAGAGGCCCTCAGCGCAAGCGCCTCGGTTCTCTGACGAGCTTCGCTCGCCAGAATTTACGGACTCCAACAGCGCAAGGGCCATCGACAAGAGGCTAGGGTAATAATCGGGGAAGCGCCAAGGAGCATTACAATGTGACAGACATGTGCGCTTTATAAGAAGCCACCATTATTATTATTATCTCAGGTCAGTCTCTCAAAATCTGTCACAAATCTAAATTTGTGGGTACCGTATATAGACGTGTGCTAATTATAAAATATAAGATACAATAGGATATCTAAGAAGTTATACTAATTTAGGTTTCAAGAAATGGCTGCATGGCTGTCTGTATAATGGGTATATGAATGTTGGCTTTATTTTGTCAAACATATATGGCTAGGGTTGGGGATGCAATTGGGTGTTAGGCTCAGTGAAGGGTTGAGGTTATGTGAAGGTTAGTATGATTGCAGGGCTTGCAGGGCCCTCAGGGAGAACAGTATGAATACTGATGAGGCTACCCTGGGTAAAGAAGACATACTATTATTATTATTAAGTGTTTGATCAAGGGTCAGGAATTCATTACTAAAGGACATAGACTGCAGAGGAATTTCTGTCAGAGCATGTGGTCTAGAACGAAAAAATCGTGACCCAATTTAAAAAAAAAAAAATGATGTATCAAAGTTTCACTGTTTACTATATTCATAACAAAATGTGTGTAGAATAAAAAGCAGATATGTCAGGCGATCTCACCCTCTTGCATCGGCCTCCCAGTAGGGAGCGTAGAGACCAGAGAATGCAGGAACAAAGTATACACCGCCATTGTTATCTACCTCCTTAGCAAGCGTCTCTGTGGATATATAAAAAAAATATTAGAATATTAGAACTTGTAACACAATGTTAGGAACATGTTTATTCTTTCTTTTTCCTCCTCCTCTTCCTTCTCCTCCTCTCCCCCCCCCCTCCCCCTCCTCCCTCTTCCCTCTCCTCTTCCTCATCCTCTCCCTCCTCCTAGCTCTTTCTCCCCCTCCCCCTCCCCCTCCCCCTCCTCCGTCTTCTCTTTAGTCTTCTTCCATCTGTATATAGATGTGGGTCTGTACTCCATTTCCTTCTCTCTGTCATAGACACATCTCAATTTGAAAGGGATCAGGAACAATATCTATTTTAGTTGGCTACTCAGTAATCTTTGAGCATAGGGGCACATGATGCAACTGCATCTCTTTCTCAATTTATGTCTGTCTCCCTCTCTTGGACATACATATGTTATTAAACTACTGAATCTGATCTGTATCTATCCACGTGTAGCTTGCTATTCATTTATCATATATTTTTTTCTATCTTTTTCTCTTTTTATTTCTCTTTCTGTACCCCTTTCTCTCCTCTGCGATACCTACCTACTTCAGCAGCTGTTTTGATGATACCCAAATTGTCTCTTAACCATCTCACAGCAGCGCCTGTTACTGCCACAGATCCCTAGAGAAGCAAATCAGAATCAGATACAAGTTTATCATCTCACCATCAGGGTGAAAGAAATGATATAATTAATGATACATGTACATAATATGAAAGAAAAGGCATGTTATTCTGAAAGGACAGAAGACAGTGACCAATAAGTCATCACAATGAGTAGGAAAATAAGTATTATATTGCAGAAGATAGAAAGAGACAGAGAGAGAGACAGAGAGAGACAGAGAGAGAGACAGAGAGAGACAGATATAGAAAGAAAAAGAGACAAACAGAGAGAAAGAGAGAGACAGAAAAAGAATAGGGAGTGGGGGATGGGGGGGGGGGGGGGGGGGGGGGGGTTACAAGAATACTGCTTGGAGCCAGGAGGGCATCAACTTGTATCATTCTACACAGACCTGATGTCCTCCTGGCCCCAAACAGGTATATGGACAGAGTATTTCTAAGAGACAATCAATATAAGAAAGGAAGTTGTAGGGAGTGTACAGAGTAAGACAGACATAAAAATAGAGAAACATTAGGAGATCTGGAGACAGAAATTAAGCTTCAATGAGAAAGAAAATATGTAATGTAGTTGATGGGTACGGTAAGTAGAAAGTAAAGAAACAAAACTGATAGAGGGAGAAGGGGGTAAGTATATGAACAAGAGAAAGAGATGGATAGAGGGATGGGGAGACAGAGTGACAGACACAGAAGAAATATTCAATTAACTATTTATTAGAAGTGTATAGAAGTACAAATGCATGTTTATGAATTCTCAGCTTGTCTAACCATCAATGTTAGGGAAAGGTAGATAACTATTAAAGAACTCGGGAACAGAATGAATGAACGAGACCAAGATAGGCAAAGACAGAAATATCTAAACCTGTGGCCCGTATAATCAGACAGGCCTACTTCAAAGGAACGTGCCTACACAATTAAAAGCATAAAGTATCTGATAAGAAATGTTTAGGATGCTTCATAAACTCTGTACACTTGGAAAAGGATTACTAAGCATACAAGTCTAATCTTTTATAATCAAACATAAAAGAGAGGCTTGGACTTTGGACAGTTGTAATGCAGGACAACTGATAAAGATGCAAACTCATGAAACATAATTTCCTTCAGGCACACACTTAAAACCGTATTACTATAGTATGTACTCCTGTGGAGGAAAAATCTTTTATCAATATCTTCACAAAATGAGGTACATTACATTACAGTACAAATCCCCCCCGCCTCCAAAAAAAAAGGTGGCTGTCATGTGAATATTTTATGTGTTCATTGCTTTTATCTTTAATATCCCTATTCCCTTGTTTGAAAGCTTGCTTTTAAGATTTCATATTTTCATAATAGTTATTCATTATAAAGGTTTTATCAGGTATGCAGACCAAGGCTTCGCTTATAGTTTTCTGCATGACTGCATCCTATGAAATGATTACTTCTTCTACAGTCTAAATAAAGCTGTCAACATTCAATTCTTCTTTCTTTCTTTCTTTCTTTTTTTCAAAATGACCATGAAGTGCCTCCAAAAATTAAAAATCTTGGAGTGACCGGTTTTACCATACTCATTTTCCCCAATAGACTGTAGTGTTAAAAAAACTGTCAGGAAAAGGCAAAATTTGATTTTGATTTCCAATCATAAATATCTTAATAATCGGACAGGCGATCGGCTTGTAAAAGTCATGGGATTTCCGACTGACCTAAAGGTTTATAATTATGATTGCAGCATGAGCTAAATCCAGGATTTTGTTTTTGTAATACCAAATGAATAAATCTTTACCTCTAGTGCATAGATAGTAGGAGCATCTTTCCCCAGTTTATATCCAAGCGTCGTCAAGAGACCGTGCTTAGAGAAAACCCTCTCCTCTCCGGTGTTGTAGATCAAGAAACAGCCAGTCCCATATCTGTACCAACAACAAAAAAGATATTATTTTTGTTCATTATCATTATTGGTAGTATAACTATGACTTACTAACACGTAGCAGTTCAGACTTTTCTTAACTTCTTGTTTGTTTGTTTGATTGATTTTATTTCTGCGTTCAAAATATACAAATTCAAAGTCAAAGTACAAAATTTTGAACAATAACAAATACAATGAATACAATGTTTACAAAAGTAATTAAATGAAAAATCATGTACAATTATATCATTCGATAAATATGTACGAAGCATACAATAACATAAGAAATATGAAATATTTTCAATAAATTAGAGAGGTAATTCGGAACGCAGGAGACCACCATCGTGAGCGGTTAGGCTGGAGATGGATGGCGGCCTCGTAAAAAGAATTGGCGACATAACTCTCTTCGAAAAACTGAGTGATTAAGAGGTGCGGTGCAAGTGCAGGTGCAGTGAGCAGTTGCATGATAAAGAATAAATAAGTCACGGTTTTGTTATACTAATTTAGAGAGGGGGAGCATATGATTGTATTATTTGTCGTTTAAGTGTAGCTTTTAAGGTGTAGATGGTTGAACAAGACTTTATGTTGTCGGGTAAATCATTCCAGATGTCCGGGCCAGAATGTCTAACAGATTTGTGTGTTATTGATAATTTGGGGTTTGTAAGATGGAAGTTCTCAGGGTCGATCTAAATCAACCAGCTTTTACTCCTCAAATTGGCAACAGTTATTTCATCTTTCCACTCCTATTTGGTTAGAGGAAATTGAAATGTTCCATCAAGTTGTTTTTCTTCCATGGGTTATGTTCCAGGGTTAGTGGCTCTGATGGTGACCCAACATTTGCCTAACATTGTTCCCCTATGCTCGGCTATCATACGGCGCTCTAGCATTTCAAGGAAATGACACGGCATGTACTATAATCTCAAAGTCATCATAACTCACAATAACATCTTCAAGAAAATGTGAATTTGATTGATGACTTTAGAACCTAACTATTGAGAAAACCTGAAGATAAAGTGACTCAATGACCCTCATATTACGGGGCTAACTGCACACTGTATATTGATCCAAGACAAACACGATACCTGTCCAGTATTATTTGCACATCCTCATAAAAAAGTACAAGTTCAAATCTAGATGTGCACATATTGATACAAATACCGGTAGCAAGAGGGATTTCAAGTCAATTTGACTTAATCAGATACTGCATATAGTATCCTTTCTATGGCATTTTGTTGGATGCCCGCAAAAAGGCAGTTAATGCCACTGAAAATGCATAGAACTTATGGCTTTCTTGCGGGAAGCTAACAATGTATTTTTATTGACTTATATTGATTGAATGGAAAGTATGTATAGGGCTCTTGCAAATATGACCCTGATTTTCATTCCTTGTAGCATTTCGAGCTAATCAATTAAATAATTTATTTACATGTCGAACGTATATCCACCCCCTTCAAATCAAATAATATGACACAACAGACTGTCTTGGCTGAAGGGAGAAAATACATACGCATTGAAGTAGCATTTCTCTGAATGGGAATCAGGTCAATTACAACCATGACCTTAATTGTAAGTTCTTGTAGCATTCCAGCTAATCAATAAAATAATTCATTTTCTTTTTAAATATATTAAATGTATTGTATGATACATGTATGTCTACCCCTTTTAATAAAAAAACATGACACAACAAACTTGTTTTGGCAAGCATATGATGGAAGAAGATACTACTTGTAGTTCGTGTTTCTTTTCCGTGGCATTTCTTTTATTTACTTGAATGGGAATTAGGCCAGTAACAAATAAAACTTTGTATATTATTTTCTTGCGTTTTCAAAGATAATGAATGAAGTATCCTTTCTCCAATATTTGTTTTATTTACTTAAAAGAATTAGGTCAGTTTTTTCTTTCATATACTCACAGGAGAATTAGACCAGTTGTAAATATTTCTTTGTATTTTCATTTTTGTTGTGTTCACAAAGAGGATCAATACAATAACTTGTTTGCAAGTCAAATATATCATACAATATATCCACCCCTTTGAATAAACTAATAAGAAACTAAATAACTCATGCAGTGTCCTTTCTTTTACTTACTTGAATGGGAATCAGGCTAGTTACCTACATGTATGGTACTTTGTATTTTCATTTATTTCAGGTTTAAAAATGATCAATAAAGTAACTTGTTTGCTTGTTAAATCAAATCATACTCATCCCTTTGGGTCAAATAATAAGACACAGTTAAAGATACTCCTTGAAGTATCCTTACTCTACTTTTTCTTCACCTTCCTCGAACAGGAATCAAGCCACTGCAAATATATCTTTGTATTTGGTCCCTCGGAGAGGACCTAAAGCCTTTGGTCCTCTGGTTGCTTACTAACAAGCATTATGCTTTCTTAGCAGTCAGGTAAAATAACCACCACCACCACCACTATTTGGACTTTATTGACAGCAGTCTCAGGTTAATCAATAAAATAACTTGTTTGCGTGTGGAATATATAATACGGTGTATCCACCCCTTTAAGTCAACTAATAAGACATTAAAGCGATGTCTCAACAAACATTTGCACAGAAAACTACAAATATAAAGTCTTTAATATTTACTTGAAGCCAATAGTTTAGGAATAATGTCTGCAACAGAGTAAACTAACTTTGCACGGATACAAGTATCTATAAAATTATTTATATCCCATACAGGTTCTTTAAACAGCTAGTACAGCATCTTAAGTTCATGCTATAGCTTGCGGTATACAAGAAACATGCTGTTCCTGTATGTTTGTTACAAATTTTGTTTTGAGTGACTTGAATGGTGGTTAAATTGTAGAAATTCTTCAAACGAGTAGCAAAATTTAACAGTTAATGATCTATAATGCAAAGCAGACTATGATTTTGAAATCATCATTTACAAAAGCCATTTCTTTTAAATGATACAATCTTTTCACTGCCAAAGCCTGCTTTGATCGGCCAAGTTTTCATGATAAAAATAACATTATTTAACAAAGTAAAAATCATCTCTCTTCGTAATTCAATGTGGGTTCATAAATTGCAAAAATCTATATGATGAAGCGGATTTGAATAAAAAAAAAATAGGTACTATGATTTAAACCATAAGGATTACAGATTATTCAAACAGTTTGAGCATCAAGTAACACCTGGATGGAATTCTCCCCAGAGAGTGGCAAGCACTGAATCCAATCACCAGGGTAATAGTATATCTGTAAAGCGCTTAGAGACATCGCAGATGTATTAAGCGCTTCATAAAAGCAGAATATTATTATTATTATTATTATTTAAGGCGGATTTGCCATGCTTACGTGTTCTTAGCCATGCCTTTCTTGAAGCAAGACTGTCCAACCAATGCCGCATGCTGATCTCCAAGAATCTTAAACGAAAGAAGAAAAAAACATGAAATATATGTTCTTAGCATGATGTCTATAGAAATCCTGATTACACTTTACAACCTTGCTTGATTTTCTGTTTTCCATTTACAAAAGGATTAGTGACAATATATAACAATCTAGAATTGTTAAAGAAAAAAAAAAATTTTAAATTTCTTTGTTAATAATCTGCATGTATCATACAATTGTAACATTTGTGTTAAACAGCAAAATATAATTTGCTTCATAAACAAGATTGTACATTTTCGAAAATCAACAAATAAAGAAAATTCAAATATGCTACTATATTGCCTAGAGATACATTTTCAGGTTTTGCTATGTTCCATTGCCATGTTTGCACATCTCATTAGGTGACACATGAGGATAATGATATTGACAGAGGTAGATATTTTGAAAGTATTGGCAATCAAGCTATTAGACCTTTGAGCCCCACTGCACTACTTATAGCTACTTGCGCCATCTATTTAGCAAACAATGCTTAATCGGTGCCTGTTGGTCCACCATGATCATCTTTTTTCTTGTGTTAATTGAGAGCTGATTTGATGAGATAACCACCTGTCAGTGACCTTGCAGGGAGGTCTCATCCCCCCTGGCCAAACTAGTGCAGATGGTTTTTAGGTAAACTCAAAGTGAATTCTTACCCCTCCAATAGGCACTCCCTTGAGGGCTGTATCAACCAAGCTACCATAGATCTCAGCTGAGCTTCGGATCTCTGGAAGAATAGTCTTAGGAACATCAAAGAATCTATGACAAAGCAAGAAATGAACATGGATTGAGGGACAGGGAGAGATAGGGAAATAGGGGTGGGGTGGGGGGGGGGGGGAAGAGAACAGAAAGAGAAAGAGAAAGCAAGGCAAACAGGAAAAGAGAGACAGACAAGAAAGTGTGAAACCAATAGAGAGAAAACAAGAGAAAGATAGATTAGGAAGAGCAAGAAACGGAAGAGAGAGAGAGAGAGAACTATAGGAAAGCTAAATAAAAAAGAACATCATTCACACCTCAAGTATGAGTTTTTACGAGTGTAATTTAGACAGAATTAAACCCAAAACTTTCAAATGCAAGCAAAATTTCATGAATGTTGGAAATGGTCCAGATACGCATCAGTTTCATTCAACAAAATGACCTAAAAATTTAATAACATGTGAAAGTTTTCTTGCCAGAAAAAAAATGACCACCATCAAAATTTCATGAAAATTGGGGTGTTTTACATGGAAATGGTATAAAAAGCAAAATTCTAAAGAAGAACAAAATATCAGGTAAAAATCTCCTTACTTGCAGAGTTCATCGTCCCATTGTAATGTTGTAATGTTCATGAGCATTGTACGACTAGCATTGGTCACGTCTGTTATGTGGAGACCTCCATTCAATCCTCCTGTTAGGTTCTAAATCACAGAAAAGAAAGAAAACCAGAAGCACAGTCTCAAGTTTCAATGTGTGCAAAATCTCTTTTGATCTGGTCACATTGGTAATGTGAAATCATCTATCTATAAAACCTTTGGTTACTTTCTATGACACAGAAAGAAACTACAGTGGCTGGTTACAAGAAATGTTTTCAGATTCAATGAGCCAAGAGATAAATAGACATAGAGAACAACAACACCCAAACTTCACCAAGCTTTGTCACTGGTAAGACCAAAGTAGCATTCCAAGTACACTTACAAGAGAGTTTTTCATTGGTTTTTCTAACAAACCAGTGAACTTCACTGTGGACTCAACAATTCCAAATATACATACATCTCTCGTCATCTACAGCCTTTTTTACCTCAGGAATATTGTCTAGTAGCCATCTAGTAACCTTCACATCATTTATCTAAAACAACTTATCAAGAGATTAGGCATGCAACAATGAAATACTAACATACCTAGTATTATAAGCAGTAAAACTTATAATAATACAGCATACCAATGTAAGCCAGGAGTCAACCGTTCCAAACATACACCTCCCGTCATCGACAGCCTTCTTGACCTCAGGAACATTGTCTAGTAACCATCTACCTTCACATCACTTACAACAACTTATCACAACATAAAACATTTTGTATGCAACAACGCAATACTAACTAAAGGTTAATAACAAAATAACATACCCATGTAAGCCAGGAGTCAACCGTTCCAAACATACACCTCCCGTCATCGACAGCCTTCTTGACCTCAGGAACATTGTCTAGTTACCATCTACCTTCACATCACTTACAACAACTTATCACAACATAAAACATTTTGTATGCAACAACGCAATACTAACTAAAGGTTAATAACAAAATAACATACCCATGTAAGCCAGGAGTCAACCGTTCCAAACATACACCTCCCGTCATCGACAGCCTTCTTGACCTCAGGAACATTGTCTAGTAACCATCTACCTTCACATCACTTACAACAACTTATCACAACATAAAACATTTTGTATGCAACAACGCAATACTAACTAAAGGTTAATAACAAAATAACATACCCATGTAAGCCAGGAGTCAACCGTTCCAAACATACACCTCCCGTCATCGACAGCCTTCTTGACCTCCGGAACATTGTCCAGTAACCATCTGACCTTCACAGCACTGAAGTACGTTGATAGAGGTAGTCCACATAGGGGCTGCAGGAGTCAACAAAGACAACGGTTTTTTTATTGTGGCGTATGGTGGAATAGAATCAAATGCTAACACAATCAGAAACATACTACCAGTATTACTATTAAAATATAAAAAGACTATATAGATACACAGGTTCCAAAGCAGTTTTGGAATTATTACCTAAGCTTTAGCTCTGACATTCTTATCAGCACACTGTGCACTCAGAGGAATATATCATACCAAGTACACCAACATTATGTAGGTCAAGAGAGAGAGAGACAACTTACTTGTAAATGTTCCTTGGTCTGGGATGGTGTCTTGGATACGAGCTGATCTACAGTGGTAGCTGTCCTGGCATCTAACCATACTACACAAGCAACAATGGTAGAAAGACAGAAAATTGTACAAACAGAAAATGCATGATATACATTGTACATGTATGTTTCTTTAAGAGGAAGAAATCAGACCAGGGTCCTGTCTTACAGAGAATGGCGATCACAAGCCCTTTAATCAATCACAAGTTTGCAGTCCCCTATCTCTTACGTACGTAAATAGTTAATATGTGACATATATATTCTATTTCAAAATTTGCCATCCATACAAGGGAATATTCATTGAGAGAAGTTCTGGAGCAAAACTTAATACAATCTCTTCTAACAGGTACAAAAATGTTTCACTCTTCGATCCCTATGAGCTGGAAACGGCTGTAGACTCTAAATGATGAAATCTCGTAAGAAATTTTAAATATTTCAAATTTGCGAAGAAGACTGTATCATTCAAGAAGCATATATAAGAAGCACTTGATATCAGATGACAGAACTTACAGACAGCAGGATGCAAGGGCTCCCCCGTTGTCCTATCCCATACAATGGTCGTCTCTCTCTGGTTGGTGATACCTACAGCTTTGATACCGGCCGGATCGACTCCAAGACCTTTCAGTTTCTTCACCGTCTCGTTGATGCATTCCTTGACAGTCGAGAGGATCTCCTTAGGGTCCTCCTCAACCCACCTGGTGGAAATGGAGAAGAGGAGAGTAAAGACCAGTTCACATATGTCCCTTTAAACTGGCTTTAAAGGCATCGTTTAACATTGTTAAATCTGAAATGCATGGCCCTATAATAATAATAATAGCTCACATTTATAATGCGCCTAATACTTTGTTTCTAGGCGAGGAACATATTATTACCCTGGTCATCGGATTCATGCTTACCCGCACACATGGTATGCACATTCTCCACTCCCTGGGGAGCATTCCAGCCAGTCGCCATTTTACAAGCGCCATTGCTAATCAAACCATATTAGCTTTCGCATCCTACTGGGTACCCATTTGTAAAAAATTAAAAAATTATTACCCTGGTCATCGGATTCAGGCTTACCCGCACACATGGTATGCACATTCTCCACTCCCTGTCGAGCATTCCAGCCAGTCGCCATTTTACAAGCACCATTGCTAATCAAACTACATTAGCTTTCGCATCCTACTGGTACCCATTTGTTATCATTGTCTGTGATATGATGTAATATTGAAACCCTAACAAAATTGCACTAATATAGCTCAAAAATGATCAAGAAGTGCCTAAAATCTTTGTGTGACCAGTTTTACCATACTTTTTTTCCTCAATAGACTGTGTTACGATAAACGTTAGGAAAACGCAAAATTTGGTTTTGATTTCCAATCATTTTTTTTTTTTTTATTTATTTTTTTTAAATTTCCAATCATAAATATCTTGATAATCAGACAGGCTTGTAAAAGTCATGGGTTCCTGACTGACCTAAAGGTTTATAATTATCATTGCAGCATGAGCTTAATCTATGATTTTGTTTCAGAATCTGAGACAAAGTTACCAGATCCCTTTAATGGCTTTTTCCAATAAGAGTGAGGCTGATCTGCCCAATAATGTTAATTGCGAACAGAAACTGCTACAAACAACATGGTAAAAGAAATGCTCTGCCACATGCATTTGTCCTTTCAAGATGACAAAAGCAATGTACTCTTTTGCCAAAGAGACATGATTCTTCTCTTTTTGTCACATGTACCAAAATCAAACAAAGCAAACAAACAAAAATTAAATATTGAGGAATCAAACACAGTCTGCACATGCTGGATAAACTCTTTGGAATCAGCCACCAGTCTTGAAGACATATATTTAGAGCAAGTTTTAGCAACTTTAAACTCCTTCAAGTCTCCTCTTTAAAGTCACCTGTTCAAAACTGTATTTGATTCATATAATGTTATTCAGTATGTTTTCACTTTTTATGATGAACTTTACCTCAATATTAAATGTAGGCCTGCGCATTAATACAGGAAATGCCAAATGAATACAAATGTAATTTCAGACTGCTGTCTATAAGGTGTACAAACATACACTTGCAAAACATACTTGCATGATTAATCTCATATGTCAATATTTTTTCTTCATGTATATTCGCTCCATCTCTATACTTATGTCATAGCATAACCCTTTGAACCACCGTCGCCAGAATATAGCAGAACAGCGGCCAGGCCAAACTTCTGGCTACTCACGTTTCCTAATTAAATTAGATGACATGTAGGCCTAATTAACCTGGCTTTGTGCCTCAGCCCAAGTAAACTATATTGCAAAATGCAGGGCATCAAAGTTCAATACATATAATAATAAATCATAATACTGCAGTGCTTTGAAAGATTATATCACTGCCGTAGCGTCTCTATGCACTTTGGAAGAAAGATATAAAAGGGAGAAATATAGGTCCTGTAAATGCCCGACTGTAAATCAATCAAAATGATGTTTAAACAAGTATTTTTAAGTGAATTATTCCAAATAGGCTTCGAACTGAAAAAATATATTCCTTGTAAAAGAAAAAGTGATAACACCATATTTCCTATCTTCTCATTATAATACATTTCTGTTTCTTTTCTGCTCTTGCTTTAACAAATTATTATTCAAAGGCTGCAGTATGTACATCATCTTAGGTTTAACATTTAGTTCATCTCTCTGTTTGTTTGTTTGTTTGATTGATTCGTTCATTTGTTTCACTTTCTGTTTGGTGATTGGCAGGGTCATGGTTTATTTGTTGTTTTTCTTGTTCTTGTTTTTTGCATGGATGCAGCCTCTACCTCAAATTCTTTCCTCAGGACAGCTTACATGTACCTTTATGAGCAGAGAGCTTTTAATTTGAAGTCAGCCTATCACTGTTCACTTGTCTGTCTTCACGATCGAGATCGCTTTCTCGATGCTCTGGGACTCTGAGCACGGCTGTCACCTTGCCTTCAATCAAACTAATTAATGCACCTGTCCTGCAAGAAGGTGCACACTTAGTCTGCCAGCACAGACTTTTGTCAGCCTTAACAAGTACAACAGAGTGTGAAGTGAGAGAATACATATACTGCAATGTCCCCCGCACTCCATAGGGTTGGTACAATACCTTATTCTACATGTAATTCTGAACCAGAGATTTGTAAAGTTAGGCTTGGCTCTAGAGTCTAGAGTCAAAGACTTTCTAAAAATTGAAATTACTTTTTCAAATGAAGTCTGTGCACACAGACTATTACAGGTACCCATGTCAGAATACACTTAACAAGTTCACATACAAAGGCCGTGCATGTAACCCAACACAATCATTAACACACAAACATGACCTTCCAAGTTCAATGAAGGCTACAATAAGACAACTTTTTATTATTCTTTGTGCAGAAAAGCAGACAGGTGTATTCTACATTATGGGAACTGCGTCCAATGTAAATTACAGACTTGATGTTTTATTTGTTGACCATTGGTCCTTGGACCTTTAAATCATCGGACATACTGTACATCCTTAAAAATCTTGAAATTGCTTTCTCAGCAGGATGTACAAGTCCATTTGCCAAATCACTTTGTGCTTTAAAGGCATTGTGTTAAATTTGAGATGCATGGCTGTACGTTCTATCAGTGTCTGTGGTATGGTGTAATATTGAAGCCCTAAAATAATTGAGCTTCAAAATGATCATGACATGAAGTGCCTCCAAAAAGTAAAAATCTTTGAGACACTGGTTTTACCATACTTTTTTTACCCAATAGACTGTAGTGTTATAAAACCGTTTGGCAAACGCAAAATCTGATTTTGATTTGCAATAAAAAATATCTTGATAATCAGACAGGCTTGTAAAAGTCATGGGGTTCCTGACTGACCTAAAGGTTTATAATTATGGTTGCAGCATGAGCTAATTCCAGGATTTAGTTTCAGAATCTGAGGCAATGTTACTGAGTCACTTTAAGTGAATCTGGAGTTTGAATAGAGATCAAGGTAAAAGAAAATTGACCATACATGCCAAATTCTCACTGCTAAACTTAAAAAAAAAACACTCTTCAGTCTCAAAAACAGCTGTAATATTGTAAGACAATATATTTATTTCAGTTTACTACTTATCTATGCTAAAGTACAGAAGAATTGTTCAGGAGAGAAATAAAAAAGAAAACAGGCTGTGAAAACTTGAGACTATCAAATCTCCATTTAATGGATTGGATAGTATTCTATCCAATCGTACTAAGTAAGCATCATAAATAATTTATTTATTATTAAGTTCATGTACACGTATCACCTTCTTATAAGCGAACTTGTTATATTTAAAAGGGCTAATTTTCATAATTTTTTCCACCCCTCAAATCATCATATTTCATTTCCCCCTGTAATCGCATCTAAATCCCAGGGCCTAGAAACAGGCCGATTAGTAGACAATTTTCTTCAAATATCATATCTGATTTTGTAGACCCACTTTTACACATGATGAAACTATCATAATTCAGGCATCTTGCTGCAAAGAATAAATGTTGGATCTGGGCCCTGTTTCATAAAACTTGTTATCAATAACAAATGCTAAATATCTATGACAAATTTGCTGTCAGCCAATCAAATGCCACGATTTCAGTAGCTTATAACACTTTATTGTAACTTTTTATTGATAACAAGTTTTATGAAACAGGACCCAGAATCTGATTAACCTGTTGACTCCTGGATTGTCAAAGTCAAATAGGCTTAAAGGGATTCAGTAAATTTGTCTCAGATTCTGAAACAAAATCCTGGATTTAGCTCATGCTGCAATGATAATTATAAACCTTTAGGTCAGTCAGGAACCCCATGACTTTTACAAGCCGATCGCCTGTCTGATTTATTATCAAGATATTTATGATAGGCATTACAAATTTTGAAAACCGTTTCCAAAACGGTTTTCATAACACTTCAGTCTATTGGGGAAAACGAGTATGGTAAAACCGGTCACTCAAAGATTTTTACATTTTTTAGGCACTTCTTGCTCATTTTGAAGCGCAATTTTGTTAGGGCTTCAATACTACATCATATCACAGGCACTGATTACAAGTAGGGGCGTGCATCTTAGATTTAACATTGTTAAACGATGCCTTTAATACAGGGACCACCCGGTTCCCGTAGCAACGGTTAAGAATGGACTTACCCTTCGTTGGGGAAGGTCTGCTGTAGTTCTATCTGATGGTGAGCAATCAATTCAGATGTTTTACTGGAAAAGACCTGGAAGGATGGAACAAATAAACACTGCAGATTACTTTTGTAAGAAATTAAGAAAAGGGTTGCAGAACATGCGAGCCAATGATGCTTCGTGTTCATCAGGGCTACACACTCACCGTCTCACCATTTTGGAAGAGGGTTTGTATTGTGTTTGTTTCAGAGTCCCTACAGTATGTAAAACTGTTGTAATTTTGGGGAGGCCCATGCAGACCCGGAGATTCATATTCATATTATTCATATTCATTCATATTCAAATTTATTGTCCAATGATTGGAAATTTGTTTCATTTGCATGTCAGTACAAGGTTACACATTATAAACATCAATAAGATACATATGGGTACAGAGTAGAACATTTAACTTGGACATAGGTAACAACAAATGCGATAGTTCAACATGCAGACTAAAATTCGATTCATAAATTAAGTAGTTAAATTCAGTTCAAGTTCGGATTAAATTCATTCGCAATTCAGATTAAATACAATTAAAATTTAAACCAATTCAATTCGTAATTCAGATCAAATCCAGATGGAGATGGAACATGGTGCAGGGTGATACTTCCGACATTATATGCCATGCATGTATGATGTACATTGTACAGTATCTCTCTCTCTCTACTAGTACTAGTACTAGTAGACCTAGTTGTTATTTTTAGAGTTGAGTTCTGGTAAAGCGATTACATTGTGAAGAAACAATAAACTGTGATTGTTGCCAATAGTCCAAGTCCAAGCAATAATTAATAATTTATTCGGAAAGGTTGAATATTTCATCAAATAATTCTGTAATTGAATTGTTTAAAATCCTCTGAGAACGTGGCACATGCCGACAGTGTAGATCTAGGCCTAGGCTGCTATCAAAGAGCAAATATTAACCACACCATACCGACGGGTCTGAAGGGCAAAGACAAGGGCATACAAACCAAAAACTACAGTGTCTATACACAGTCTACATTCATTCATCTCGCGATCTCGTACACACGAAAAACACACATTCGTCTGCGCAGTTTCATTGCCCAAGCTTTGAGCACGTTCCCCAACGATTATCCACCGCAGAGTTGTGGCTAGGGTTACAACGTACATTCCGTGCAGTGTCAGATTTCTACCAGGCACCCGGTGGATTATCCGACAACAAATCCAGACGAAGATGATTAATAACAGTAAAATGATGAAACTTACCAAAAATCGTGTGCTGCTTGTTCCCTGGTCAACTGCACCTACCAATGGTCCAACATCTTTCAACTTTTCTGCCATTTTCTCCGGTTTTTATCGAACGAATTGCGCTAAATAACGTGAGTGACCATCCAGACACACCTCCAAAACGCCTTCTTTATTCTCACACTACCGTACCCTGCCCAGTTACCGCCCCCCTGTTACCAGTGGCTTATTAGACACAACGGCCGTCTTCCATCGCCCGAGTTTCTACGGTGCGCAATGAAGGCGTGCGACTAACTTGCCTATAGCAGCATACACGTTGTAAGGAACATGTGCACGAAATATGGTACACTGTCGATCGCCCATTTAACGGAGATACGCGAATGACGTCACTGTGCAGCAGTCAGCTATGCGCTTATTTAGGTGTGAATCAACCTTTTTTAAAAACATCAAGTTCCTATTCAAAACGATCAGAAAAAAATATGGTGGAAATTTTACTTTTGTTTAAAGAGATATGGAAGTTTAAATTCCTGATGTTTTACCTGAGCAAATTTCTTGCGAAAATTATTATTTATAAAAAAGTTATCGAGGCTTGAACTCGGCCATGTCGCCCTGTGATGCCCCTGCCCTATTTCCGCCCACTCAAACACACGCGCTAGTTCAGTGTATGTACCGTGCGTTGTTTATGCTCTAACAGAGAAAAGGTTATCTGCCCGTGGTTTTTTAGTCTATTTGTGTGTTTTTAGGTCTGCGGTTGGTTTTTTGAAAGTGCACACTTCATTGTCTTTTTTCCATGATAAAACACTCGGTTTACTCCATAAAATCGCAACTCGAGAGTATGAAGAAGGTGAAGAATACACAAATACTATAAAACTACATTCGACCTATAAACAGTTTGTAAATTGGGAATTCACCCCCCCCCCCCCCCCCCCCCCCCCGTATATGTTGACCTACATTTTGAAAATAAAAGAAAGATCATAAATGAGATAACATGGTCACCAGGCATAAAACTCTTTACTGGTATTACGGCCATGCAGTTGTCAAAATCTGCCAGACGGAATGTTGTTTCACTTTTTGATGAGCAATCATAACCGTGCTACTAAACTTAACATTTTGCAGGCTCACTTGCATGGTCTACAAAATAATCATTTAGAGGTGGCCATTCATTTTTTGTTGAGTTTACAACCAGAAAATAAGATTCAGTGTAAATTGAGTAGCTGTTTATTTATTGCCCTTTGAAGGTTCTAGGTCAATTACCCCTTGGGCATGTCACCCCCGGCCAATTAGCGGTACAATAATTACCCCAAGGACGATTACCCCCCCCCCCCCGAGGACAACCACCCCGAGGAAGTTACTCCCCCCCCCCCCCGAAAAATTACCCTCTAGGACAATTATTACCCCCCCCCCCCCCCCCCGTGACAATTAAACCCCCAGAGGACAATTACCACCCCCTGAAATTAACGATCTCCCCCTAAAAATTACCCAACTAATTATCGAGGTTGACTTCCCCCTGTTCATACTGAACAGGGGGTAGTCCTCGGGGCGGTTGTCCTTGGTTGTCCCAGGGGGCATTGTCCTATATAGGGGTTAAGTTTCAGGGGGTGGGGGGGGGGGGACTCTTTTCCGGGGGTAGCTCGTCGAGGCACGGTAATTGTCCTTAGGGGTAATTATCTTTGGGGGTAGTTTTCCGGGGGGTAATGGTAGGCGAATAAGGTGGGAGGCTGAGATTGAACCCCCCCCCCCCCCCGAAGAATGTTGCAATGATGTTTGGCCGTTCGTTCGATCGAGCAACCGACAATTTCTGGTAACGATGTGGTAATGTGATAATCATGCAGTTAAATTGTGTGACAAAATTATATATGATTGATTAATGTTGCAAAAAATGCTTGAAGTTCGGTTCTCCAAAAGTGATCCCGATGACAACTAAGTCCGGCTTTTAAAAAAGTTGCCAGGTTTGGTAGATTTGCAAAAAGTTTGTATTTATGTTCTATGTCGCTGAAGCTTGTGTCGCCTTTCAATCCAGCGTCGTGGCTTTGTAGCGAAAAGAGTGCTTGTTTCTGATACGATACAGGATGCAGGCAGAGGATTGATGTATTAGTTTTTGTTTTAATTAATTTAGTTTAATTTATTCCCTCAATTTTCTTCGATTACACCCCTCCTTTCCCCGATTGTTCTTTTAGTCTCCCTCTTCACTTTTACATCCTTTTCTTAGTGCTTCTATACATTAGGCTATAATATCTTTTTTCAAATGTTTGTGTGTTATATATTTTTGCCAACACGGACCATGACATTTTCGCTGCTATCAAATTTCCGTCAGCTGACTGTGAATAAAATAAATGTTGTTTTATGTGAAATAAACCTATATGAATGGCTATCGAAAGAGTAGTATAAAACTATAAATGATACATTTCACAAGGGCCTATACGCCTGTCAGCCTTTCAAATGGCTAGGGTAATTCTTATATACGTTGTTAGTTTGCTAAAGTTTTATGGCGAATAAAAGGTGAACATTTTTTTATCTCTATCCATCACATTAATATCTCTCGGCAATAAAATGAATGAATATTGAATGAATAAATAAATAGATGAATTATGTAGAAGATGTGGGGGAGGGGGTATAGTGCCAAATTTAGAGAAGGGCAATACATTGCAGGACATGATTTGAGTTGTTCTCGGTAATGTCAACAAAATACTTATACAATAGCTTTCAACCCTCTTTGGATGTTGAAGTGGCCTGTCAGCCTTTCAAATGGCTAGGGTAATTCTTATATACGTTGTTAGTTTGCTAAAGTTTTATGGCGAATAAAAGGTGAACATTTTTTTATCTCTATCCATCACATTAATATCTCTCGGCAATAAAATGAATGAATATTGAATGAATAAATAAATAGATGAATTATGTAGAAGATGTGGGGAGGGGGTATAGTGCCAAATTTAGAGAAGGGCAATACATTGCAGGACATGATTTGAGTTGTTCTCGGTAATGTCAACAAAATACTTATACAATAGCTTTCAACCCTCTTTGGATGTTGAAGTGGCCTGTCAGCCTTTCAAATGGCTAGGGTAATTCTTATATACGTTGTTAGTTTGCTAAAGTTTTATGGCGAATAAAAGGTGAACATTTTTTTATCTCTATCCATCACATTAATATCTCTCGGCAATAAAATGAATGAATATTGAATGAATAAATAAATAGATGAATTATGTAGAAGATGTGGGGGAGGGGGTATAGTGCCAAATTTAGAGAAGGGCAATACATTGCAGGACATGATTTGAGTTGTTCTCGGTAATGTCAACAAAATACTTATACAATAGCTTTCAACCCTCTTTGGATGTTGAAGTGGCCTGTCAGCCTTTCAAATGGCTAGGGTAATTCTTATATACGTTGTTAGTTTGCTAAAGTTTTATGGCGAATAAAAGGTGAACATTTTTTTATCTCTATCCATCACATTAATATCTCTCGGCAATAAAATGAATGAATATTGAATGAATAAATAAATAGATGAATTATGTAGAAGATGTGGGGGAGGGGGTATAGTGCCAAATTTAGAGAAGGGCAATACATTGCAGGACATGATTTGAGTTGTTCTCGGTAATGTCAACAAAATACTTATACAATAGCTTTCAACCCTCTTTGGATGTTGAAGTGGCAAAAACGTGACTGGTGACCCCCCCCCTACCACCACTCCTTTTGCATTAATTATTATACTACATTATTTTGCAAAACAAAAACACTGACTTTCTATGGAAGTGAATCGACAACTTCGTTTTTAAGATCATTTCGGAAAGTTTTGTCTTTCAAGTTGGCTATAATTATTATTGAATGCATTATCAAAATATAATACTGCATAATTTAGAACAAGTGGAAAACAAAAAACACAACAACTTGAAGTCTTAAACAAATAATCAAAAAGGAAACCACATTTGCGTTATAGACCTATATACCCTAAAATTGTAATGATGATGATTTAGACGATGTCGGCGATGATGATAATTCTAATGACAATATTGCTAGATGCTTTTTCCAACCAATTATTATGCCTAAAAATATACGCTAATTTATTTTTGAATCAAGATTTGAGAGATGTCGAGAATAGTTTGCATTTAAAAATAAATAAAAATGAAGCACCATTACTTTCTTTTACAATATGTTCACTTTGATAGTGGTTATAGTTTTTTTTTAAATTAAATTCTTTCACCCTAGTGGTTAATTTAAAAATGATTAGCGATATGTTAAGTGACTTTAGTCAGATTTGTCTGATTACCATTATTAAAACATTAAAGACAAGTCACAGGATTTTCCCGGAAAGGCAGTTACAGAATTTTCCCAGATCAGAAAGTGGTGAATAACAGTGAACAGACATTATTAGTAGGCCTACAGAGGCAAAAGAAGAAATAAAGAAAGAAATATCAATTATCAAAATATCATGTAGATCAAATTCTACTGGGAAGCAATTTTATTTGGCCTAACGTTTACCCGAGATGTCTCCCTTTTCTATACTTTTGATGCGCGTCCACCATCGGGACGAATTAGGGCAGGTCTAGGCGGAAATAGGCAAGGAAAATGCCTCACGCAGACGGCGCACTACGGACAATTGCTTACGATTTCAGGCATAAGAATGGCATGGTTGGATTCGCTAGAATTTCGGCTACAAATTGATATACATTAGCGCCTGTATAATTCATTTTCAGAAAAGTTATCTAAGAAAAACTGCCTATCGGGCGGATACCGGGCAGGGTACGGTACTGTAGCTGCTGCTGCTCCTATAGTATTAAATACAACCCACTGATCTCTACGGAAAAATCATGTTGTTGTTGTTGTTGTTTTAGTTTTAAGGGCGTGTGTCATTCAATTATGAATATTTACGAATCTTCTGATTCTTGTCCTAAAATCATATATAATTGATGGTTTTTAAAACGGTATCATTTGAATTTCCATTTCCAAGCATTATTTTGAACTGTCCCGAAATTGTTTTCCTTTCTTGAAATCAGACTACAGCCCCAGCCTATTCTTTTCTTATGCATGGGGATATTGAAAGGCCTTGTCCTCCCAGACAAGGATAAATAGCTTATTCAGTATGCTACTTTAGAGACAATACTTTAAAATAATGCTGTCATTGTTGCAATGTCAGGAATGCTATTATTACCTCTTTGGTAATCCACGTATTTGCCAAAAGTATTCGCTCAATGAAGGGAGGGTCGGATTTGTTTTCTTCAATTCATTATTTATTGATGCCATATCTGAAAGAGCTGAGTAGTTTGTTACGTAACTATTAAAAAATTGCAGGTGCAAGCTATTGAAAAGCCAAGCTTCCTTTATTCATTGGTGCCCTTTTATAGAATTCGTAGCGTATACTAAATTGAATAGACCCGTGTTCTATTCATCATGCTATGTCAGGGCAGTAACCTATTGTCATATCACTTTAAGTTAAAGTCAGTAGT